AAACGAATGCTCTACTATCATCCAATAAACTAAGGAAATAGCTTTGTAATTTTTACTTTTACTTTTTGTTTCATCTGCTAAAAAAAAACAACAAAAAAAAAACGACAACTTCAAAGCCAAAAGTTACAAGAGACGATTGACGTCAACCTCGCCCGAACACCTAGAGTCATCCATCGGCTTAAGTCGGACCAAGGACGAGGAGAAGCTAGGAGGAGACGCGGCAGTGTCTCGGAGAGAGGAGCCGAGCGCGTATTCCGATAAAGAGGAGGAGAGTGAATTCAATTCTGAAAATGGCGTGGGTCATCGAAATGGAATCGATGCGGTTGATGCAGGAAGAAGGCCAAGATCTAATGAACACTCTGAGATAAGTGAAAGTACGCCCATCCTAATCAAAACTGCCGGTGAGCCGCAGGGGACCGGTGTCGAGAACCTCGGCTTTGTGAATCCTATGTTTGAAACGAACAATGACTCTAAAGGTCGAGCAAAGCAAAGCGACAAACTCGACACTGTGGAAATAAAATTGTAATGCAAATTACGCAGGCTATTTATAAAGTTGGAACATAAGGACTGAAAACTATATTCGTTCATTATATTTTTTTAATTGTAATAAATTTCTACTGCTGTATTTTGCTATGTTTGTCTTGATTTAATAGCAATCATCTCTAACTTACTCTAAGTTTTAATAAGGTGTGTCATTTACTGGGTAATAAAAACTTCTCAAAAAATTATATGAAAAGTAAAATAGGTGCACCAATAGTAATTGTTGTTTTTTTTATTCCTGTTGTGTATATACATGTATTTTCACAATGCTTCATATCATTGATCTATGATGACTGAAACAACAATATAAAACTAACACATTTTTTTCTGTTTTTTTTTTTTCAATGCATTACTTTAACCAGGTCTTCTCAAGTTTTAATAATAGGGATTGAATGTTCAAATGGTAAAGTCAAATAAATCATAAAGTAATTAAAGCAGATGACAATTTAAGAGAGTAATTCGGTCAGAAGTACCGTACTAAACATTATATTGAGCGTTAACTCAATTTTGCCGGTTGGAAGTGTCCGGTACTTCTGATGACGTATGCGTACAACATTTCTGGAAAAAAAATAGAAGCACCGTGTCACTTCCTCACTGAATTTACAGTAGATTTATGTGTTTAATCTCGATGGCCAGCAACAAAATGCTTCTTCCTAATAACAAAAAAAAAAATAATAATAAATTCAGCTGTCATTTTGTTAAAGCATGTGCCAAAATATTTAATCTCGATGGCCAGCAACAAAATGGTTCTTGCGAATAACAAAAAATAAATAATAATAATAAGCTCAGCTGTTATTTTGATAAAGCATGTGCCTAAATATCTACTCTTAAAAATAATGTGTAAGTGTAAGCAACTTTGTTTTTTTCAATTTAAACAGCAGCGGCTACTTCAAATCATGCTTCACTGTAGATTTGTCGAGATTCATCACAATTAGGGATGATGATTTTTTTTTTACAGGAACTAAAATTCACTGACCACAAGTTTTACATTTTTCTTTCCAATTGAAGCCATAATTCTCGAATCCAAACAATTCAATCTTTTCTTTAACCTCAGTCTTCTTAAGATCAAGAGGATTTGTTCCGCTTTATTCCGAAGAATGCATCGGGATCTCTTCGCTGGCCTGATTGATGATTGCGATCATTAGAATAAAATTAATTGAAAACTGTTGAATGAAAGCCTGGAGATCTCTGACTCTGCGAAACAAATGCTTCGAAAGTTAACATTGAAACAAATGCTTCGAAAGTTAACATTGAAACAAATGCTTCGAAAGTTAACATTGAAGCAAATGCTTCGAAAGTTAACATTGAAACAAATTATTCGAAATTTAACATCGAAACATATAAAAAAGATGGTTGTTAAAACTCAACACAACTTACCCCTCTCTCTCTCTATCTATATCTCTCTTTCTCTCTCTTTCTATCTCTCTCTTTCTCTCTCTCTCTTTCTCTCTCTCTTTCTCTCTCTTTCTCTCTCCCTCTTTCTCTCTCTTTCTCTCTCTTTCTCTCTCCCTCTTTCTCTCTCTTTCTCTCTCTCTTTCTCTCTCTTTCTCTCTCCCTCTTTCTCTCTCTTTCTCTCTCTCTTTCTCTCTCTCTCTTTCTCTCTCATTCTCTCTCTCTTTCTCTCATTCTCTCTCTCTCTCTCTCTTCCTCTCTCTTTCTCTCTTTCTCTCTCTTACTTTTTCTCTTTCTCTCTCTCTTTCTCTCTCTCTTTATCTCTCTCTCTCTTTCTCTCTTTCTCTCTCTCTTTCTCTCTCTCTCTTTCTCTCTCATTCTCTCTCTCTTTCTCTCATTCTCTCTCTCTCTCTTCCTCTCTCTTTCTCTCTTTCTCTCTCTTACTTTTCTCTCTCTCTCTCTCTCTCTCTCTCTCTCTCTCTCTCTCTCTCTCTCTCTCTCTCTCTCTCTCTCTCTCTCTCTCTCTCTCTCTCTCTCTCTCTCTCTTTCTCTCTCTCTTTCTCTCTCTCTCTCTTTCTCTCTCTTTCGTTCTTTCCCTCTCTCTCTCTATCAGCCTGGTGTATTAAGAAATAATACTAATTTATTCGAGATGATTATCAAATTATGATGCTTTAATGTAGATCATTATCTTCAAGATGTCGATAACGCCAAAAGAGTTGAGAACAACTCCTTTAGATGACAAACACCTCCCCCCCCCCACCCCCAACGCCATACTTTGTCGTTGTCAACTAACAAGAACACTCTTCTATATATTTTGCGCACTTGTTTTGGCATATGTTTGTGCCCAGTGGTAGTCAAGTTTATGTTTGCGCAACTGAGTTTTCACGTTGAACTCGCTGTCGGTGACTCATTCCACACCCAACACAGTATGTACTGAGAACAGCCGGGAGTCGTCATATGGGCGCCCCGGACAGAATGATAAATTACTGTTGTACTGTGTGCGTCTCTTTGATGATTTCACCAATGCACAGAAAGCCCTGCATGACTGTCGAATGGAAAAAAATAATGTAACAAAAACTACGTGTCTGATAAATCGGAGATAATAATGCTTATTATGTTTGATTAACATTGCTTCTATGAATTCTCGCAACAATTTTTATTGTAACTTGCAAAACTGCTACCTAAACGAGAAAAGATGGTTCAAAAAATGTTTTTTTTTTTTTTTTAATTTTAATTTTTATTTTTTTTTTTTTTTTATTTTTTTTTTTTTTAAATTGAATTATTAAATTTTTTTTTTTTTTATATTTTTAAAAATCTAGTTTTCATAGTGTAAAAAAAAAAAGACACAAAAATCGATTTAATATTTAAAAGTTGTCAAATTGAACATGTATAAGTATAAGCCGTCCAATTTTTTTTAGTGTACCACTTAATTGTTCGTTTTGAAAAGCAAACTGAATATGCTCTTTATGAGTTTACACAATGCTTGGATAGGGCAAGATTTATGATACTTGACGGAGCTCGCCACACCCAAGTAGTCAGTTGTCATCACCGCTTAGAAAGAATATGGACCGGAGAGTTGTTGTTTGTTGTTGTTTTTTTTTGGTTGTTTTTGTTGTTGTTGATGTTGTTTTTACAGGAACGCTACCCCGAGTTCGCCGCAGGCCAAAACCAGTGTTGTGAAAACTCCAAACTTGACTGGACTTGTCTAGTGTTTCGGGGGTATTAACACGGTTGTGCTTCAGAGATTTAACACGGTTGTGTTCTAGAGATTTAACATTGTTGTACTTTAGAGATTTAACATGGTTGTGTTTTAGAGATTTGACATGGTTGTGTTTTAGAGATTCAACATGGTTGTGTTCTAGAGATTTAACATTGTTGTACTTTAGAGATTTAACATGGTTGTGTTTTAGAGATTTGACAGGGTTGTGTTTTAGAGATTCAACATGGTTGTGTTTTAGAGATTTGACATGGCTGTGTTTTAGATGTTTAAACATGGTTGTGTTTTAGAAATTAAACATGGTTGTGTTTTTGAGATTTAATATGGTTGTGTTTTAGAGATTTAACATGGTTGTGTTTTAGAGATTTGACAGAGTTGTGTTTTAGAGATTTAACATGGTTGTGTTTTAGAGATTCAACATGGTTGTGTTTTAGAGATTTAACATGGTTGTGTTTTAGAGATTTAACATGGCTGTGTTTTAGATGTTTAAACATGGTTATGTTTTAGAGATTTAACATGGTTGTGTTTTTGAGATTTAACATGGTTGTGTTTTAGAGATTTAACATGGTTGTGTTTTAGAGATTTGACAGAGTTGTGTTTTAGAGATTTAACATGGTTGTGTTTTAGAGATTCAACATGGTTGTGTTTTAGAGATTCAACATGGTTGTGTTTTAGAGATTCAACATGGTTGTGTTTTAGAGATTCAACATGGTTGTGTTTTAGAGATTTAACATGGTTGTGTTTTAGAGATTCAACATGGTTGTGTTTTAGAGATTCAACATGGTTGTGTTTTAGAGATTTAACATGGTTGTGTTTTAGAGATTCGACATGGTTGTGTTTTAGAGATTTGACAGAGTTGTGTTTTAGAGATTTAACATGGTTGTGTTTTAGAGATTCAACATGGTTGTGTTTTAGAGATTCAACATGGTTGTGTTTTAGAGATTCAACATGGTTGTGCAAATCTGCACGTAAGAAATGATGTCAGCTTCAAAACGTGACTTTGACAATACTAAGTATTTAAATAAACACAGTGCCATAGCTTCACTGCGTGAAACATGTCAAATACGTGATACTAGTATGCAAACATTTCTTTAAGTGGAACAAGGTGATGTCCTTAATTGCATCCAAAATCGTTGGCATGGAGTCAAATCCATAATAATTGCCCTTCCGCCCCATTCCTTGGAGCATTAAGTTTGAAATAAATAATAATGCCTGGCCCGCCTAGGTTCCCCAACCGACATGTCTCCTACTTACCCCCCTCCTCCCCCCACCTGTTTATGCCACTCGTGTCATGACTGGTCAGCAGTGCAAGAAACCACGACCCTCTTGTTTTTTTTTTTTTGGGGGGGGGAGAAAGTGTGTTCACCTGATGTTGTGCTACAGGTAGCAGCTCTGTCTGCCATTAGTTGTTGTGTGTCTTTAAGGCGACGACATGAATAATTTGTTTTTCTGCGTTATTATGTGTGGTCACAAGATCCCGTGTGTCCATTAAATCACGGCCGATTACATTCTGTCACAGCGCTGGGGAAGGTAAATTAGAACAATGTTTTCACTAATTATGTTGTAGATTTTTGTGTAGTCACTCATGGTAAGTGTTTACTTATTTTATTTTTATAAATACTATTAATAGTGTTAATATTTTGTTATTCAACTATTCAAAATTTTTAATATATTTTACTTATCTTCTCTCAAGAAAACTAGGGCGAACGTAAATAAAGCCACCGTGTTATTCACAACGGGCTCTGTCTTCAATGCAGCCCTGTATTTAGCTTCTACCGATAAGTGCATCTCTCTCATACATAGAAAATGAGATATACAAAAAAAAATATTTAAAAAAAAACATTTAAATCTGAAATATCTCCCACACCTAACCCACCGTGTTATTCACAACCGGCTCTGTCTTCAATGCAGCCCTGTATTTAGCTTCTACCGATAAGTTCATCTCTCTCATACATAAAAAATGAGATATACAAAAAAAAATATTTAAAAAAAAACATTTAAATCTGAAATATCTCCCCCCCCCCCCTTTTCCCCCCAAACCTCCCAGTACCAATTAAACTAAAAATCCAACCAAGCGTATCGCTCGAATTCCCAAGCGAACACATTTCTGTGCTTTTTATAGACGACCACTGCCACGTTTTATGCGGTAAATGTGTCATTAACTGAACTGAATAGATACGTCCCCGGCCTCCGACACGTCACATGACCACGTGCCACAATGGTATGATTGTCCTCAAATCTGAATCAAGTAATCTTGCTGGTAAGGCCTCCGGTCTGCTGATGACGTCTTTCAAGTGAATATGCCTTGGCTGTAACGAGTTCCTAGGTCGCCAGTCAATAATAATATATATTTTTTTAAATAATAATAAAAACTGAGACTAAATCACAGAAGACGTAAGTTGTATTTTAACATAGCGGTTCTGAATGAACTAAAATTACCCAGTGAATCATGAATGTATGGTGTAGCGGTGCCCTGTCATTGTGGTAGGCGAGGCTTGAAATCGACAATCTTATTGAAGGGCAGCGTTTTATTTGGATTAAAAGTTAAATTCCAAGATTCTGCGGTGTCTGCAAGGTAGCAACTGGACTAACTCCTTCTGGTCGTTTTGAGCTTAAACGAGATCAAATGAGTTGTTTGTTTTTTTATATAACTAAGAATTAGTTAAATGTTATACTAGACCCAATCAAGCGAGCTATTAATAATTTATTTGTGGCAAGGTTTTAAAACTTTTTATAACGTGTTTTGTTTTTGACATATCATAATTGTTAGCCCACGAAACATTACATATGATGTATATAAAAAGGATGGGAAAAAACTGCGAGATTAAGGAATTTTTTTTTGAATGGTTTGACTCGCTGAATATCTTTTACCTCAGAATTTCCCCAGGTGGACTTGTAAACAAATAAAAATTTTATTAAAAGTGTTATTTGCAATGATAAAAAAATTAAAAATGTGGATAGTGGAATATAGATTAGTCGCTCTTATATACGGATTTGTAATTAGTTTTATATCATTATGATTTTTAAAAAAATGAAAGTTGTCGTGTTTCATGTTTCGCGTACAGTTGAAATAAAAAGGATGTGGAAAGAGACAGTTCACAACAATTCAAATACAAAGGATTAAATTCAGAGAAACTACGTCACAGAATGAGAGTCGTACGTTTCCCGAGCAAGAGTGTTCTCATCACTGCGCTCATTCTATCAGTCTTGATGCATCAGCATTTAGGACGAGCAGATGACGGTAAGTGTGTATGCAACCCAACACATATGTTAAGCTTACATCGTCTTATGAATACAGTTCTGTAAGATTAAAATAAACCTCCACCATCTGTCACCAACATTAAATTGTCGCGTGTCCACATTATTATTTTTAAAAAAAATTATACCTCGCATTTGGTTTGGTTTATGAAATATTCTAACAAGGACACTGTTCCAGAGTCTCATGACGACGTTCCAGCAGGGACCCTGGATGATGAAGATTCTAGAGAAGAAGACGATGACAAAGGTAAGTTATCAGTCAACTAAATCAAACAAGACTTGACTTACTAACCGGGGTTGTTGACTGAAAAGACAGGACAATCAAACGAACGTTCTGACTAGAACTAAAAGCCTTCAGCAGATGACAAATAAAATATTAAAGTATAAAGACAAAAAAGATTATAAAAACTTAGCTACGCCACTGATTGCATGTAATAGCTACGCCACTGTTTCCATGTAATTATGTTACTCAAATTTCTAAATTATTATAGACCTATGATAGTTTTCATTGTTTTTTTTTTTTTGGTTTTTTTACAACTTGGCGATGACAGCTTAGAAGAAATAAAAGTACATGATTGGCAGTTAATATTATATTTTACTATGCATTTATTTTTGTATCCAGATTCAGATTATAGCGCACCAAACCAAGAAGAGACAAACCAGGTATGCAAGACATCACTCAAATTGACATTTAAAGTCAGTTTTAATAGTTTGGCCTTATACATGTTCTAAATAAAAATAAACATTATTTTGAATACAAGCGCACGTATATATTAGAATATGTAATTTATATTCCATTTTTGTTCTGTCCACACAGCCTAATGGTGCCCCTGGACGATGCAAATACCTTCAATATTTAGTGAACGCCGGGTCAAAGAGTGGAACAGTGCTTGCTAAACTTGATTGTGGACCACAGTCTTTAAGATATTCAATACAATCAGGTTAATGTAGTACTTGAAATAAAATATATGTCACAAAAATATCGTTTGCACAAATACCAAAAAATTATTATTTCAAAAATACATAAAAGACAAATGAATATTAATACACTACAATAATTCTAGTAGAACGAATGGAAGTCTCTCTCTCTCTCTCTCTATCTCTCTCTCTCTCTCTCTCTCTCTCTCTCTCTCTCTCTCTTTATATATATATATATATATATATATATATATATATATATATATTATATTATATATAGTATATTGTATATTAAAGTTTTAACTTGTATCTTCGAAAATTCAACTCAACTGCTGCCATGTATATTTGTTGACGTATTTTTTATTATAAAACTAATTTTTAACATCATTATGTCTCATCAGTGCCATATGAGGCGAAGTTAACTTCGACACAGACTGGGGAGGTTACTCTAGAAGAAGATTTACCCCCGTATATCATCTCCATTGGTTACCATGTCAGCGTCCTGTACCGTGAAAATGACACAGTGTTTGATGAGCTTCAGCTTCATCAGTCTCTATTCAACTCTACCGTTGGTAAGTTAAAGTTAGGGAGCGTTTGCGTCTAGCTTAATCTATGCAACAAGTAGTAAATGGTGGTTGAACCTATGACCAACTGTTCCTATTGACAACACGCCATCCAGTCTGTCAATGACCAAATGTTCCTATTGACAACACGCCATCCAGTCTGTCAATGACCAACTGTTCCTATTGACAACACGACATCCAGTCTGTCAATGACCAACTGTTCCTATTGACAACACGACATCCAGTCTGTCAATGACCAACTGTTCCTATTGACAACACGCCATCCAGTCTGTCAATGACCAACTGTTCCTATTGACAACACGCCATCCAGTCTGTCAATGACCAACTGTTCCTATTGACAACACGCCATTCAGTCTGTCAATGACCAACTGTTCCTATTGACAACACGCCATCCAGTCTGTCAATGACCAACTGTTCCTATTGACAACACGCCATCCAGTCTGTCAATGGCCAACTGTTCCTATTGACAACACGCCATCCAGTCTGTCAATGACCAACTGTTCCTATTGACAACACGCCATCCAGTCTGTCAATTACCAACTGTTCCTATTGACAACACGCCATCCAGTCTGTCAATGACCAACTGTTCCTATTGACAACACGCCATCCAGTCTGTCAATGACCAACTGTTCCTATTGACAACATGCCATCCAGTCTGTCAAGGACCAACTGTTCCTATTGACAACACGCCATCCAGTCTGTCAATGACCAACTGTTCCTATTGACAACATGCCATCCAGTCTGTCAATGACCAACTGTTCCTATTGACAACACGCCATCCAGTCTGTCAATAGTTCAACTACTTTAACCTCCCATAGAAAGAGATTTTCACAATTCCTGGATATTTTTTTTTAAGCAGCTTGAATCTTGAACGCATGGACGTGATTGGAGTTTCCCCGTCCCCCCAAATTGTGCAGGTTTTTTATCAAAATGGCTATGTACTGTGGTGCATCGAGTAATAAACAACTTAACAAGCCGACCTAGTTTTGGTTTTGCCTCCCCCCCCCCTGAAAAAAATCTGAAATGACGCCACTGTTTGAACATTTGAATCATTTACGTATGGCCCAAAATCAGACAGGCATGCATTCATTTTTTAAAAAATAAAACACTACATATTCTGAGAAGTGCAGGGGCGTAGGAAGAGGTTGCCGGGGGAAGTCACTTTTTTTTATATGTTTCGGCCAACTGCAGTGAGTTGGTTTTTTTTCGTGGGAGGGAGCGAAAAAAATCTTGGTGCGCACCGGTCGAGACTTTCCTTCACTACGCCTCTGTGCATAGGTCCTACTGAGGGTGTTTCAAGACACGGCACGGACAGCAGGGCCCAAAGATGTATTTATGATTTATACATATATATATTGCTCTAATTTACCTCCACATTTCCTCGTTACGACTGTGTACCTGGTCATTCCCTAATCCCTTCCAATCACATTGCTCTGAGCCATTCTATCCAACCGACTCCACATTTCAAAGTGGCTCACTCAGTAATAAATATTTCTGTTAACATGATGGTGCCAATACCTGAGGCTGCTAGCTAAAGTTAGGCAACTAGCCGTGGTTAGGCCACTGGACGTAGTTAGGCAACGATCAACGTACTAACCTTTTTTCATGTTTGAAAATGTGTTTAAGGAGAAACTCTAGACAAACAAAATTAATGCCGTACATAAAATAATCGCTTTATCTTGTCATGTTACTTGTTCAATATTTAAATGTAAATCAAAGCCACTGAACACACATCTGCTATAGCCTATATTTCATCTCCGGCGGCTCACAGGGCGAAAGAATTGCTCCCAGTATGCAAAGGAAGCTATTGGCAATGGTGATGAAAAGACTGCCCGTAACATCTTCACAGAGTGTCCCATCGATTTCGAAGGTTAGTAGGTACGTTACATATTTAGAGACTTTTTGAAATGAGATGACTTGTTACCCGAAACAAAGGCACGATATGCCAAGTTACCCAGGAGTTGTCCAAGGTACCTGTGTTATCCAAAGTATCCAGGTTACCCAAGTTATCCAAATTATTCAGCTACCCAGGTTACACAAGTTACACACAACATGCTTATAGTTTAAAATTATGAAGTGCAAAACGGAATGATTACGATATAGAAATATATTTTTGATATGAGGGCATAGATTAACTCTTCCTCAACAAAAAGTTGAGTGGCTGTCTTTTTTTCAGCAAACTTAAAGTGAAATATTAAACCATTCTTAAGCGTAAATATTAATATTTTATATCGGGAAATGCTTGCCATTTTTTAAAAAAGACTTATGGGATTGTTTAAACTGCAGATGGGATGTAAAACCCACTTCACCCTGCAGATGATATCTAAAGTCCCTTCATACTGCACACGGGAATTAAAGCCCCTATCATACTTCAGACGGTATGTCAAACCTCCTTATTTCACCTGATTACGGCACGTCATCGCATTTTAAAAAAATATTTTTGTATGTCGACTGCATCCCAAAGCACCCAGTACTCATGGCACTATGTCGCAAGGCAATCTGTACTCATAGCATACTGTCTTAAGGCACTTTGTACTCTTGGCACACTGTCCCAAAGCTCTCCGTGCTCATGACACTCTGTCCCAAGGCACTCTGTACTCATGGCACTATATTGCAAGGCACTCTGTACACATGCCACTCTGTCCCAAGACGCTCTGTACTCATGAAACTCTGTCCCAAGGCACTATGGACTCATGGCCTTTTCTCCCAAGGCGCAATGTACTAATGGCACTCTGTCCCCCCTCCACTCTGTAATCATGATGCACTGTCCAAAGGCACTTTGTAGTCATGGCACTCTGTCGCAAGGCACTCTGTAATCATGGCACTCTGTCCCAAGGCACTCTGTACTCATAGTTTTCTTCACGTCAATCTACACCCGTTTTGCACATGAAGCCTTTTAGGAAACAATGTGGACGTTAATTCTTGTCCATGCGAGCACTATTTGAGATGGTGAGAGACATAAACCTCTATTTTGGTTTTTATTAAATGAGGACCCATGTAATACAGAGAGAGAGAGAGACAGAGTGAGAGAGAGAGAGGGGGAGGGAGGGAGAGAGAGAGAACAATTTGTTTAAGTCAACGCATCCAATAGCTCTAATGTTGGGACGGCCGCAAAATCTTTTAATAAGGCCGCTTTTAAAATCGCAAATTATTTCTGTGAGCATTTAAAACTTAACATCATTTTGATGGAGTCGGATGACGGCTCAGAACGTGGCACAGCCGTTTGATTTAAATCTCATTTCCTTCCATAGGACAGGTGAGCTTGACGTGCACAAGTAGTGGCAGGTGGACACCCAACAGCTTGGTCAACTGTATCAGGAGATCTGACCTTGAACGTATCTCCACTCTGGTAATTTTAAGTGTTACTTCTGCTACTTCACCGTCTTAATCATGTTTAATCATGTAATCTGTAAATCAATTAAAGTGGCTGTGGACTTTAAAAAAAATATATATTCATTTTATCTATATCCCCCACCAAAAAAATAATAATAATAATTGGTAAACAACAATATCAATCGCTAAAATTTTGCTGACACTCTTCTAATTTGATTTTTATTGAGCCTTCATCTACCCAATGTTTTCCATCTTTTGCACACTTAAAAATATTTAATTAGTTTTAATATAAAATGCTTTGAAAACTGACAATTTTAATAATGAGGGGTGGGGGGTTGGAGATAATAACTAGAAATTTTCACGTCAAATGATATGCTAGAACTAGATTACTCCACCTAGAACAGCGTTGGGAAAAATCGGCTGTGGAGCAGCATGTGGCTGTTTGAACGAATAAATGCGGCTGTTTGAACGAGTAAATGCGGCTCATTTCATTCTTATTCTTGCCCTTGCCTACAGGGGTCTCAATTATTTCATTACTGGCTTATCCACTCCGACACACTCCTACTGGCATATCCACTGTGACACACTCCTACTGGCAAAACGACTGTGACACTCTCCTACTGGCCTTTTCACTGCGACACACTTCTACTGACCTATTCAATTGCTACAACGTATGTTCTGCCCTCGTAATTGACACTTGGTTTTTTTTTTTTTTTATAAAAATTATTCCTTCCTCTGCATTTTCTAAAGACTGAGATTGTGTTCACCAATCAACACAATCTGACAGATGTGCAGATTTCGGAGCAGGTAGACGCGATTGCTGCCCGACTGAATGATTGTTCTGCCCTCGTAATTGACACTTGGTTTTTTTTTTTTTTATAAAAATTATTCCTTCCTCTGCATTTTCTAAAGACTGAGATTGTGTTCACCAATCAACACAATCTGACAGATGTGCAGATTTCGGAGCAGGTAGACGCGATTGCTGCCCGGCTGAATGACAGCGTCACTGCGATAGCGGCGGTCAGTTCCGTGGACATCAAGATGAGCTTGTGCGTGATGGACCGACTGAGTCTCACCGTGAGGCAGGCTAACGTGTCTGTTCCCGGAGGCACGTTCATGGTAAGATGTAGAGCGCGGTGCCATCACACAGAAACAGAACTGTGACCTGATTCTATAAAGATTCGTGTACAAAAAAAAATGTATTTATTATTATTATGAATATGCATGGTAATTTTCGTTTCTTTCTACTGTTCGACCACCAATGAAGTATTTCGGATACATTTTCGAATTGTTCCATCAAATTGACACAAGAACAGTATTTAAAATGTATGGCGGGGGCATGGGAATCAAGACGAGAGTAAATGCAGAATTGAAAATGAAACCAAACAGTCTGGGGAGGGGGGTTTCAGTCATTTTTCAATGTTAGTGGGAATGGTTTTAAAGGGGATGATTCTGTTACAGAGGGAGGTAGAGCTTTTTTTAGTGGGCACACATCCATGAAATGTGGGTTAAAGGGGTCGCGTGTTTGACATATATTTCATAAGTGAAGTAGGTAATGTTATGTTATGGGCATCCTTCACAATTAATAATGATATTACAAATATCAAATCATAATGTGCGATAAATAATCGTTAAAAGTTTTGGTTGAAATTCCCGTAAGTCCTTATGCCAGTGTAGCACTTGAACGTTTTCTTGTTGATTTCTCAAATAGAAGTTGGCGAGTGTCTCCAACGAACTGATATCAGCGGACGTGGAAACATGGCTGGCATTGGCCAATGAAACTCATGATGAGGGGGCTTCCTTGCTGAGCATCATGGACCTCCTGGCCGCCAGCACACTGGACACTGTCAGGAATGAGTCTTTTCTCGCCATGGAGAACATTGGTATGAAGTAATTCTCTGGTAATAGATATTCTTAAACATTGATCTTTGAGCTTTCATATCTATGTATAAATTGGATCGCAAGTGATTAAAAAAATAAGCATACCTAATAAATTAAAACTTTTTTTAAAAAGACACCTGCAAGAAAATTAATTTAACGTAACATTTTTTAAAATATTGCGTGTCTAACTTGTAGCCTATACACATTCACTCAATTATTTCATAGTCACTACCATTATTTGATAGTCACTACCATGATTTGATTATCATTACCGTAATTTGATAGTCACTACCAGAATTTGATAGTCACTAGCGTAAGTTGATAGTCCCTAAAATAATTTGATAATCACTACCATAATTTGATAGTCACTACTATAGTTTGATAGCCGATACCATAATTTGATAGTCACTACCATAATTTGATTGTTAGTAATGCAATTCAAATTTAAATTTTAATTAAACAACTATATCTATATATGATATAATCAACAACAAATGAAAACTTCCTATTTGTTGGTATTTGATTTAATCGTCAAATCTCTGCAGTTTGTCATAATACACAAATATATTTATTTATCAATAATTTTATATAAATATATATAATTTTTGGATAAAAAAGATTGCATGCATATCCATTTGCAGCTGTCCAACTGTCATATGGAAATGGGGACATTCACTTCCCTAACATTTATCAACAATATCCTTCAAACCAATGGTTCAATCTATCTGGAAATGCCATATTTCTGCCTAAAACTGCTTTTACAGGTGAGTCAACATTCTGGAAATGCTACATTTCTGTCCAAAATGCTTTTATTAATGAGTCATTTCTTAACTTCTATTTTAAAATAAAATAGTTTACATAAAACTTATCTTCCAATACCCCTGCCTCCACTTGGTATATCCATTGCGACACACTCCTACTGGCCTATCCATTGCGACACACTCCTACTGGCCTATCCATTGCGACACACTCCTACTGGCCTATCCACTGCGACACACGCTTTTTGTGCATCATTCCGTAAACTACGATTCATGTGTGTGTCATGGAAATAACACACGTTCCATTCATAAATGAAAATGATCGTTTTTGAAACTTGATGCACCACACTGTAACGTCGTGGGGTTTTTTTCCTCTCTTTAAAACGGTGAAAATTAGCTAAGTACTTATTTATCTATAATAACCTTCATTTACATAAGGGCTACCCCTAGTGGCAGGCCTATTTATCGGGTCTGACTAACTTAACGGTGGATGTTTCCTCGCACATAATTTTTCTCTAAGATGAATATAAATCTAAATTTGTTATCCATGACAGGTCCGCTAACTTACTCAGTGATTGAGTACAGAGGTGTTATCGAGAAGTTTAGGATTGACCCGGAGCGTCAAAAAAGGTAAGCCTATTAAGATATGGTACTAGATATGTGATGTGTTATCAAAGGGAAAAGCGTTCATATGCAAAATGTTGTCCAAATTTCTTGTGATGTATTCAATACAATAAATGAGTTCAGCCATATCAGTGCACTTATTTATTCAACTATCTAGTTAGAAAAATGCCCGTTTTGATGGTATTGTTGTTTTAAAATTATATTCACTTCAAATTTTGACTCATTGACATATAGGCCGGGGGGGGGAGGGGGGCGCGCAATAGTACAATGCCCCTGCCCCAACCACATTTTTTAGTTTTTTATTACTTTTCGCTTCATTTCTTCTTCAAAGTTCTTCCCCATGCCACTAATCAGTGAGATATTACACTTCAAGATCAGTACTAACTTTTTTTTTCTTTATCAGCTACAGTTCTATCATCTAAAACTATATGATAACTAAGCTTTAGTCTAACATTGTTTATGTCAAGCAGATAGCCTATTAGGAATAGGGTGCTGCACTTTTGTAAAATGACGTATCATTTTTTTGGTTCTAAAATCTGGTTTAGATTTAATAAAGAGCGGCTCTTTACACTTGGGTCCAATGTGCTCACGTTGACCGTCAACACGCAGGAGAAGACGATTCAATCAAATGTAAAACTGACCTTCTCGTTGGGAAATGTGAGTTACCCCCCGCCCCCCCCCCTTTTTTTTTTTTGCCCTTCTTAAAATGATCTGTTCGTTTCTTGTTTAATAATCGTCATATAAGTGATGTTTCCATTTTAGATAAAGCCATGCTTAGAAAAAGTAAAAGCAACTGTTAAAAATTTTAAATGAGATTTCAACAATATTTATTGAAGCTTAACTTTGTTAGACGTTTTCGTACCGTCCAGCTGGTACACTTTAGGCAATGATGGAATACGTTTCAGAATTTCTCCGCTATTTCATCGAAGCACACCCCATCATCAAAGCAGTCATTAGAAATGATCTTTAAGTAAAAGGTATCTGAAGTACAGATGTGTTTTAAGACCCTTAAAAGCGTTAACCTAATTCGTTTCACTCAGACTTTGTTTCCCCCTTTCTTTTAATTGACCTGTTTTATTTCACTTTAATCTTCTACTTGGTAATAAGATGAATGAGACACACACAGATTTGCGTAAATAAAACAACATATCTCATGCTTTACCTGTGATCAAATGAAACAGAAATTTAAGCGTTTCGGGTAATTCATTTGACAGTACAACAAAAAATACATATACATTTAATGAACATCATATGTAAACATCCTACTCGTACCTAAAAAAATATTAAAGAAAAAAATAAAAATGGACACATGTCCATAACGAAAGTAATGATTTGAACAACCGGAAGACAGTAAGTGAAAGGACAATTTAAAATACAAACGGGGAAAAAGAACGCTGCAGAAATTTTTTTTAAATTTAAAAAAAAAGAATTTGGTTTGTATCGTATGGAAGTCAACATAACAAATCTGTTTATTAATTTATTCTCCATGATAAATTGTACACGCTGTGTAAAACGTTGACAGTAAACCAGCGACTGCACTGTCCAATAATCCATTACGGTTAGTATTGTTGAAATATTGAGAAACTGGAAAAATGGCTTACTTATAGAGTTTTAACGGGTGTTACCTCAAACGGTCACCAAGACGACAACCTGGCTTCCCCTACCTATGATTTTCCACGCTGTTTTTTTTTTTCTCCACTGGATGGCGTAAATCATGTTGCGACTTGTGCAAGTGCAGTCATATTTAATCTACTTAAAAACTTTGTTTGCAGTCTAACCCTCTTATTGTTATAAAATACCGTTTTATTTCATGCATCAAGTATTTGACACGATGTGTTCGTTCTCCTAAACCAGGTAACCAATGACACAACTCCGTACTGTGGGTTCTTGGATACATCGGCAAGGTAAGGACAGCTAACAACAGCTCTGAAAAAGATCCTTTATATATTGTTTCCTAAATCAATGATGCTATATAATATATATATTTATTTTTTAATGGGTCCATTTGACATCTTATTTAAAGGTTCCAGCTTGATCTTTATATATATTTTTAAAAATATTATTATGGGGCCAAGTTTGAAATTTATTCACAACCTTACGACACTTAAATTTATCATTTGATCTAAACATCACTAATATAATGTACTTACATTATACTTCAGTTTAAAGGAGACAATATTTAATGAAAACATGTACTAACAGTAATAAATATAGCAAGAACAAGTTTGTTAAGTTTAGATAGAGTCATCGATTTGTGGGGGGGGGGGGGGGTGACATGATTTTTTGTTAGCATCGCTGTTCATATTTCAGCGAACTGGGAATATGGTCAACACGTGGTTGCTTTGTCGAATCCTTCATCAACAACACGGTGGTCTGCAGCTGTAACCACCTCACCAACTTTGCTGTGTTGATGAGTCCTTTTAAGGTGAGTACGAATGGATTTCTATGAGTTACAAAGGGCAAAAAAAAAGTAACTAGTTATACAATTAAATTAGCAGTTCTGACACACAGACACAGAGTATTGCTGAAAGAACAAAAACACAGAACAGCACATATAATGAGTTGTATTTTGTTGTTGTTCGGGTGTGTGCAAGTGTATGTATTGTCCGGATGTTATGAGTTGAAGTCAGGCACGTGAGACTAATGACTGGGTATTTTTGTTAAAGAAGATTTGATTGATTTTTGAGGAAGAGATTGAAAATTGTAAGCAGATTTCATATTGAATAGAGTTAATGCCTTCGTAAGGTTTTTTGTTCGGGAGAGAGGGGAGATTTTTGTTAGGAGAAATAAAAATATGTGTTTGATTCTCTGGCTTAAGCTGGCAGTTAAACTCCAATGCCCTATCATAGAATCATAAATACATTGAACACACAGTCAGCCCGACCAATAAAAGAATTTTAGAATTAATACTAAAATAAAAATTATACTCTACTAAAATTAATTTAGTAAAAAAAAAAAACAAACACTGGATTTGATAATTTCATTAGCTGAAAAATGTGAATAATTATTGAACTTTTAGTAGCAGTTTGTTATCAATATTATTATTAAATTGTCAACACACGCATACTTTCACAAGTCCAATGTCTAGGGGGTTAGGGGGTCGGCCTTCACCACTCATGGGAATAGACGCCCCAGGTGGATCAAAACTCACAGGGAATATATCATTATTATAATATATAATAATTAGGATTTGGTGTAACTTGTTTTAGGTGAGCACACGTCGTGAGCTGAGCGTCATCTCCATTACTGGGTGCATAATATCGATCACGTGTCTGGCGGCAACAGCCATAGTATATTCTGTTGTATGGCGGTGAGTTCTTTCTTTTAATGTAACAATTTTAATATAGAATGTATCTTTTTTCCCCCCGGCACGCTCCATCTTTACACAACAAAAATTAAATTAAAAAGCAATAAAAAGAAGTGTTCTCATTATAAATGTATGCCTCAAAATTGAGCTTATCATTTTTATTCACAAAAGTTTTAGTTTACAAAGCATATTATCGGAGAGAGTGCTGCAGGGTATTCCTTACATCATCGTAAGATGCCCACAGCAGTTGTCGTTAATGGCTGTAGGTCGTCTTTATAATGTTCCTCCAAAACGGTGTAAAAATGACTTAGTCTCTTAGGAAGTAGGGGGTGTTGCTCAGGAATGCTAGACTTTTTTGTTTGTTTTTTTGTCTTGTCGTTGTTCATGGTGATGAGCTGCATTAGGCTTTGACTTATCTACATTCGGAAATGTTAAAAATTGAAATTGCTTCTGTCGTATTCCCTTTGATAAATACTCATAGAAGGTCTCCTGATTAATTTATACAGCTACGTTTGTGTGGGAGCTTTATTAAGAATTGAATAGTTTAAGCGGTTTGGTGCGTATCTTCTTTGTTTGTTTGTTTGTTTGTTTGTTTGGTTTGTTTGTTGTTGTTGTTTTTTTGTGTGTTTTGTTAACAACCACTTAGTAATAGTAAAACAAATTTGACGCCATCCCCACATGGACGTGTCATTAATTTATTTCCAAAGGCATGTCAAGAGTGACAGATCATTTCTGCACGTTAACCTCAGCGTTTGCCTCATCGTCGGTTACATCATATTTCTGGTCGGTGTTGAGGAGACCAGCAACAGAGTGAGCATATAAATATATACATTTAATTAAGTTGACTTTTAATATTTAGAAAAAAAAATATTATTTGGTTGATTTCAAACATTAAAAATTAAAATGTTTCAAATCTAGTTTTAGTTTGATTTGTTTCTTGTTCGATTTTTCTTTGTCACTTTGTCGTTTCTTTCTGGACGTGTTTTTGTTCGTAACAATCTTTAAGAATAGTCAGATGTTGCTGGGTTTTTTTTTTAACTTATTACATTGAATGATTAATTTATTCCAGTATAAAATATCTTTACAACATTGGCATGGTAAAACTATTTAAAAAAAAAAATAAAATGTATACATCTCCTACGTACAGGTTAAAAAAATGTTGGTTTTAGAATCGAAACTTTTTGACCAATTTTAATGTTGTTCCACCAATCTCCTCCCGCCAAGAGTCTTCCCTTGACTTCTGGAAGCCCCCCCCCCCCTTTTTTTTTTCCTAAAAAAAAATAAAATGTGTACATCTCCTACGTCAAGGTTAAAAAAATGTTGGTTTTAAAATCAAAACTTTTTAACAAATTTTAATTTTTTTCCACCAATCCCCCCCCCCCAAGAGTCTTCCCTTGACTTCTGGAAGCCCCCCCCCCCCTTTTTTTTTTCCCTGCAACGTTTTGCTTATGTTTTCCTTGCATTCAAATTTGATGGTTTATTAGTATTTTTTAACATTACAACTTTGGTCCGCTTAACTATCTCAGGCCCCTTGCAGCCGCAGGTGATGCAGCACCCACGCTACCACTCTCCCCCCACTTTAATTACAACTAAAAGCATGATTGTAAACGCTTTAGTGCTCCGCATTTTTTTTTAAATATAATTTTAGCAATTCCACAAAATAGAGGAATAATTTAACAATACATTACTGACTGATTTTCCCTCATACCCCACACCCATTTACAGGCTGGGTGCACTGTCGTGGCCGTCCTGCTCCACTACTTCTGTCTGACGGTGTTCATGACCATGTTGGCCGAGGGCCTGGAGATCTACAAGTCGGTGATTTACGTCTTTGACAAACGATCCCTGCTGAAAATATTACTTCCTGTTATATATGGTTTGTGATACAAACTGAAATTATTTCGCATATATTTCTATTCTAAAAATTTCAATTTGACACCCCACACACTATTAAGCAGACAGGTATAGACATGGAGACAGAGAGAGATAGGGAGGCAGGTATGGACAGAGAGAGATAGGGAGGCAGGTATGGACAGAGAGGGATAGGGAGGCAGTGATGTTCAGGGAGATATAGATCAATCAAATTTTTTTTTTAATTATTGGATATCCCACAAGTTAAAAAAAAAATACAAATAATTTCCGAGATCAATAAATGTGCGGGCGATATTCCACGAACAAAGGGGAAATACTTTCTTTTTATAAAACTACAGCATTTAATTTTTATTTATCTCTATTACACACAGTTTATATATCTTTAGAAAATACTCTCTATATATATATGTTTTTGTATATGCAGGATATACAGTTTATTTATCTTTATTATATACAGTTTATATTTCTTTAGAATATACCGTTTATATATCTTTGGTATACATATTTTTATTCAAAGTTAAACAAATGGCATAGTGTTTATTTCACAAAACATACATTTATAAGCATTGGCCTCCCCCCCCCCCACAGGTGTTCCAGTAGTAATAGTTGGTATAACACTGGCCGTCACGAAGTGGAAAGCTTACACCTCTAAACACCTGTAAGTGTGTTCAATATTTAAGGACATGTGTCAGTAAAAATGCATTTCATTGCTGCTTTATATTGCCAACATGATGTTTAGAAAAAGACTTGCACATAATTTTTTTGGTTGCTTTTAAATTGTTAAACTTGACTTTGGTATGCCCACCAAAGGGAGCTGGAAGGCTTTAAGTCTCTCAAGACTAATACAACGACTATGGGGCCCTTGGTACCCTAATTTAATAAGTTTGAGAACCCCAGATCACGTTTCAAATCTGTTCAGTTACAAGCCAGCTGTCTTTTTAATTAATTCACACTAAAAGGAGGGTGTTTTTTTTCCACCTCTTCCATACTTTTCGATTTCCTAGAAGACAGTGTCGTAACCATTTTTAGCCACATCAGCTGCAATGATAGCTTTTTGTTGCTTTTCAAAATTGTACCAACGGTCAACTTAGGCATCCCAAAAATGTACCATCAGTAATGTTTTTCAGTTGCTGGCTGCCAGTGGACAAGGGTGTCATCTGGGCATTTGTTGCGCCTGTTCTCTTCATACTTCTGGTATTATGTGGTTATATTTTGTTTTCATTAAATTTCTTACATATTACGATAGGGACTAATAATATTGTTAAATTGTATGTAGAAAAGTGCTGAGACAAAGATGAGAAAAAAAATCCGTTAGTCAATTAATTTTTCATTTCTTTTTTCCCCTTTTAATTTTATCATATATGAGATCGGAAACGATAGGACATTTAGAATTTTTAAAAATTAAACCAATGTAGCGAAATCGACAGTTTGATATGCTAAGCTTTCGCTTTAAGACCAGTAATACATATGTTACCATTTGATAGATCAACCTGGGGATATTGATGTACATTGTACGTGTGATGCAGTCAAGAAAGTATATGAGCAATAAAAATATAGAGCAGAGGACAAGGTAACGCTATTTTAAGTTAGTGAACACAATAGTTAGCAAATATCGCATGTAAGCTTTTAGTGAACAAAACTGTTGGCAAATATCACATGTAAACTTTTAGTGAACAAAACTGTTGGCAAATATCACATGTAAACTTTTAGTAAACAAAACTGTTGGCAAATATCACATGTAAACTTTTAGTGAACAAAACTGTTGGCAAATATCATATGTAAACTTTTAGTGAACAAAACTGTTGGCAAATATCACATGTAAACTTTTAGTAAACAAAACTGTTGGCAAATATCACATGTAAACTTTTAGTAAACAAAACTGTTGGCAAATATCACATGTAAACTTTTAGTGAACACAATTGTTAGCAAATATCACATGTAAGCTTTTAGTGAACAAAACTGTTGGCAAATATCACATGTAAACTTTTAGTAAACAAAACTGTTGGCAAATATCACATGTAAACTTTTAGTGAACAAAACTGTTGGCAAATATCACATGTAAACTTTTAGTGAACACAATTGTTGGCAAATATCACATGTAAGCTTTTAGTGAACAAAACTGTTGGCAAATATCACATGTAAACTTTTAGTAAACAAAACTGTTGGCAAATATCACATGTAAACTTTTAGTGAACAAAACTGTTGGCAAATATCACATGTAAACTTTTAGTGAACAAAACTGTTGGCAAATATCACATGTAAGCTTTTAGTGAACAAAACTTGTGGCAAATAGCACATTTAAGCTTGAATACATCAATACAACATGCTCAGATACCCCCAGAATGCAAGAACCCATTAGTATCTTACGATAATTCTTCTTTTTTTGTGTAACCTTATGAGGAGTCCCATCTTCAAAAAAAAAAAAGAGGTAGGGAGGGGATGCTATACAATTATTTACCATGGTATTTGCATAGTTTTTATTTTGTCTTTGTCTTTTTAAAGTAGTCTTTGTATCTCCTTTTGAATAGGTCCGTTATCCGTGCAGTTTTTATGCTGTCTCCCATCCTGGGTGTCACGTGGATATTCGGTGTGTTCTCTGTTAATGAAGATCTGGTTGTGTTCCAATACATATTCGCCATTTTGAATTCTTTACAGGTGAGAATATTACACAAAGCATTCATAAAAAAAAAGGGCAGGTGAAGTACTAACCCAAACCTTATTTTAAAAATAATGTCATACTAAAAATAAATAATGAAGAATATGAAGTCTCAATCCATTAAAATATACATTGAATTTCTTTTAACGAGATGGGATAGAGGGCATGTCCCATGCTCTAACATCTTTTCCCCCTTTATCAACAACATTTGAGTTATATTTGTAACAGATCTTAAAGGTCTTCTGGATGTGATCTAAACAGTACAACGTATTTAATCTGTTTCAGGGTCTCTTTGTGTTCATCTGTTTCTGCATTATGTCCCCTCAGGTAATATCTAACAATTTTATTATGTGGAAATTTAAAAAACAAAACCGAACATAAATTGAGGTGCTTAATTTTATTTTAACAAGTTTGAAATTTTAAACTGTACCTTATACAAGTAATTAATCCTTCCTGTGCTCATTAGCGGATCCCACACTGTCTTTATATAATTATAGATATCAGTTTAATATAAATTGTAAAAAAAAAAAAACGTTTCTGCTTTTGTTATTTCCAAATTCTGACACACTTCAGTTTTAATATTCTACCGTCATAAAATAGTTTTAAATTTATGAAGATGTATTAGAGAAATTTACAAAAACGACCAGTTATAACATGTTAGTCATCCCCCCCCCCCCTCCCAATTCCCCTAGAAATTTTATTTGATGACAATTTATAAACAGAGAAGAAAAACGCTGAAAATGTGTTTGATGTAAATCTTCGTTAAACGTTTATTTCATAAATATGCTTCAAAAGGTTAAATATGCGTGTCTACAGATTCGTGAAGGAATTTATGCCACGAGAAAAAGCTATAGAAGAAAATCGATTGAGAAAGGCAAAGGGATGCTGAGTCAGTCAATTTTTGTGAGTAACATGGTAGATAAAGAAAAACGTAAGCACACGTTAAAAGATAATGAAACAGCACATGTCATATATTCCATTACCAATTGACTGTCCTGGGAAGGAAAGAACTAGTTTATAATATATATGTATATATTATATATATATATATATATATATATATATATATATATATATATTATATATATATTATATATATATAAATATGTGTGTGTTTATTAATTGTATCTTGTATTTACTAAATTATAACAATTTCATTTCCGATCTCATACATTGTCTCTTTAAATGCTTTAGTCACTGATGATTGTTAATGTAAAAATATTAAGTTATACATAGCAATTATTATATTATGGACTTTTAAACACACCAGCCCATATATTTACTCGAGTTGAAAGTTATTGCTGGGATGGGGGAATATTTGACTAGATTTAAGCGAAGATTCTTTATGCTTCCTTAATTCCTATATCACTGTGACTTGGAAGTAAGTTGGTAGACACTTGCCACTCACGGATATATTGTGCCATTGTTATTCTCTGTTTGTATATGCCTTCAACACCAGCCAGGTTTCTTCATGCCACCTTGTTCTATAAATGCTATTTCATGAAGTTCAATATAAATAAAATTATGTCCATTCAAAAGATATATATATATTACATAATATTGTGTTGATGATGCAAAAATTATTTTTATATTTTCTGTAGAGACACTCAGAAAAATCTAAAGATATAGCAAAGGAAGACGAATCCAGTTCAACATTAAAAGTAAGATTGTTAGGATTATCTTTTCTTGTTTTTTTTCTTTGTTTTTTTTTAAAATTCCCCTATCATTTAGAGACAAGAATGAATCATCGTAAGAACTGAGCGAACAACCCACAAACCAGATACAGGTTACATCATAAACACCTAGTGAAATAATAATTCCAAATAGTTATATGTGCCTATGCCTTTACTAAATTATAATACTTATTTTCTCTTCACAGGCTTCAAATGGAAAGCAAGAATTCTTACAGAGGTTGTAGAGTCGATGCTATCGTACGAGGTGTGTGGTTGTGATTTGTCTGGCCTACTGCTATACGCCAATAATGAATTTTTCTTGCTCAAGTATAGAAAAGATTTCTCCATTTATTGCATTTTTTTGTGTGCAAATCAATGTAATTCCCAATTGTATAACAGGTGTATAGATATAATTTCTGCATCTTTGCATCTGCCAGTGATCTCCAATTTCCTCCAGCTTGATATGTTGTTGTATTTGTATATATGAATGATGTAAATGTTAAATGCTGCATTCTTACACCAATATAAAAAATGACAACATTTTATAGTGTTTCCTCTGTTTGTCCAATCTCTCGTTCTCTTCCTTACTCGCACTCTTTCTTTGATCTCTATCTTTCTCTCTTCTCCCTCTCTCTCTCTTGACATATACAAAATTATATTTCACATACAAGGAGAGAACTACACAAAGAACTGATTTTTGTTCAAAATTTCTTTAATACACAATGTTTTGGGGTTTAAATGTGTTATCTCCTTGCTTATCTATTTCAATCTTCACATAAAAATGATCGCCTTTTTAAGTTCAACATACACATATCATTAATGCATTTATGACAGCACTGTGGTGGATCGGTGGATCAGTGGCATTAAAATGGTTTCTAAACATGTAAAACTTGTGTGATGCTGCACTATTAATTGATCCCCTAATGGATCGGACTGTGGTGAAAGCAATAGCCGTGCGCACCAATCATACTTCATTTAACAGCTTCACATTTTAATATAGCCACACATGTGAAGCGGGGTTTTCCTTAATATCTATCACTTAATAATTACTGTTTGAAGAACTCTTTTAGCGCATGGCCGAGTTCAAATTCTTCACCTATAAAAGAAAAAAAAAATAATAATAAAATGGTTAAGCGTTTTAAAAGTCATTGACTTCACATCGTAGGTGTAAAATTTGTTTAAATTTCATTTCTTATCCCTAACATCATGTTATCAGGAGGAGAGGGGAAAAAGCAACGTTTTTACTAAAGAAATAACTCACTATATTAAATAGCACACACAATATAAAATCGTTTTATCAACTATAACTGAGATACGAACTGATGGCATCTGACGGCTCGGTTGAAGATCCTCGTAGATCTCAGCTACTCTCTCATTTTCTTGCTGGAAGAACATAGACTTAATTACATGGAAATGACATACAGTTAATTACATGGAAGAACATAGACTTAATTACATGGACATGACATACAGTTAATTACATGAAAGAGCATAGACTTAATTACACGGAAGGGCATACAGTTAATTACACGAAAAATAGACGTAAACACATGGAAGGACATACAGTTAATTACGTGGAGGAACATAGACTTAATTACATGGAAGGACGAACATTTAATTACACGGAAGATCACATATTTAAATACATGGAAGATCATAGATTTAAATAAATGACATGGAAGATCACATATTTAACTACAAGGAAGATCATATATTTAATGACAAGGAAGATCACAGATTAAATTACATGTTCAAATAACAATTTTTAAAAAAAAATTGAAAAAAACCAACACAAGAGCCTAATGGCGACTGAATGGGCTAAGACGAGTTCAATGGGTCATTTTAAGCTACACTGAAGAACTCACAATAGATGAATAGATCATTTCATTTGTAGTTTTTAAAGCAAAGTTTGCATGGACAGACTTTTTTTTGAACACAGGTGAATCTTATCAGGTGACAAGTAGTCTTACATTGTATTTTTAAAAAGGGGAAAATATTAAATTTTATTTTAGTTTTGTGGTTCAAAAATTATTTCGCTGATCCTGCCATTTTCCAAATTTTCCCTATATTTTAAATAACGAGAGCATTGTATACACAATATCTACGAATCACACAATTATATTTGGATATGTAGTTCCGGTTCACAAACGCCTGACAGGCAGCGGTGAAATCGCTCTACAATTTCTCATTTGTGTAATGTTTCTCCCAAATTTGTTATTCCTGGATAGTTGGATATTGTTTCGTAGCTAAACTTTTCACTCGTAACAACCAACCAGTGTATCGTGGACAAAGAAATATGACCACATCACTGAGTTCTGCGAGATCTCATCAGATGCATAGAAGGATTAGATTTAAGAACACCAGAGCGCAGTGAACGATAGCGGTATCTCTTAAAATCCTGCAGGAACGTCAATTCCTACCACATTAGTAGGAACAGATGGTGGGGGCCTTGCAGAACTGCAGCCCCTTCTTTGTAGAATTCAGCTGGGGTGGAGTCTACACTTGGAGCTTTGCCATGACTTGAGGTAATGCGTATTTCCTCTAGTGTCCTGATCAAGGAAGGGGTACCTGTCTCACTGAGTGTATTCTCTTTCAAAGTTCACTGACAAAGGCGTTGTCTCAATCTCAAAGTCTGTAAATCCCTAGATATGATTTAGTGCGCTTCGAGCCTTTGGGGATGAAGCGTGATTTTCAAATAAACTTTATTACTATTATTATTTACCTGAAATTTATTTTGACCATTCCTATGTCTTCTAGACAATGCCCGCCATTTTTCCTTGACACTTGCAGTCCAGCTTTTCTTTTTTGGAGGTAACGGCTGAACCTGGACGTACAGTAGGACATAGAAACGTACGTCAAATGTAACACTTAGATGTGATCTTAACATCAGAATAACACAAAACGGTTGCAGAATCATGGATTTTAAATTACTTCATGAAAAAAGAGCATTAGAACTATATGGCAAATAGGTAAATACACATCTGAAGAACATTAGAACTATTACAAATAGATCAGTACGAATCTGAGGAGCACTAGAACTATTACAAACAGGTCAGTACAAATCTTAGGAGCACTAGAACTATGCCAAGTGCCACAGTCGTACGGGCGTGAGATAAGACCAACGCAGGCTAGTTTAAGTGAAACAAAATTTTAAGAACGTAAATGAGTTTGTATTTCTTAGATATCTTTTACAGACGCAACCAAAAAGGATAAGACCATCATTTTTAACGTGGGTTGTGGTGAGGATTGGAATTGTGTTAAGTCGAATCTACTTCTGTAATAAGTCAAATCTGTTTCCCGTACTGAGTCAAATCTATTCCAGTATTAGGTCAAGTCTATTCCAGTATTAAGACAAATATATTCTAATATTATGTCAAATCTATTCCACGATTTAAGTCAAATTGAGTCCAGTGTAAGCTATCTCAGCCATTCCTTTAGAATGCAGTAGCTGATGTCGCGTGGCTGAAGTAACATGCGAGCTGTCATTTTGATGTCGTTTTAACGGACACTATCATTCTAAGTTGCTTTTCAACGGAGCGTTCGGCTGTTTCCCTCTAGGCCCGCCACAAAACTCACATCGGCGTGTGAAGGACCCGGTGATGTCCCAGAGCTCCCAGCGTTCCTGTTATCATCCACATCTTGGGCTGCTCCCCTTGAAACGAGCTGATCCCTGCTCCTGCTATGGGCGAGGGTCGTTATTTGATCAAGTCCATTGATCGGCTGACCTGTTGATCAAAATTGTAATGGCGATGAAATGTTTTCTCAATCGAAGATTTACGAGTTCGCAGCCAGCTAGCTCACTGATGACCAAAGTTTAGGATACAAATCAATTCATGAATTAAAAGACATGAGATGCTTCAACCAAAGAAAATTGTTCGTCTTATTTGTATTTATTTTTTTATTTGGTTTAAAATAAAAAAAAAAAATATAAACAAAAATAAATAACTAGGATGTGAGCTGCCAATGAACAAAGCTGATTGGAGCGTAAAAATGCAACACCCACACACACACACACACACAGGCACGCGCGCGCGCCCTCACTCACGTGGTCACTTATGCACACACGCATTCACTCACCCATACACTCACACATACACTCACATATGCAGCTGTCAATGTTTAGAGATCAAAACTTACTGTACACATCGTTTCCATTTCCAGTATTGGAATCTTCGTTTGAAGGTCTTACCTAAAAGCGATGAACATAGAGCAGTATGGTTATGGATTTTTTAATTATTTTTTGTGTAAAACAAGTTTTCATTTTTAAGAGAGTGAGAGAGAGAGAGAGAGAGAAAGAAAGAGAGAGAGAGAGAGAGAAAGAAAGAGAGAGAGAGAGAGAGAGAGAGAGAGAAAGAGAGAGAGAGAGAGGGGACAAAGAGAGAGACATATATATATATATATATATATATATATATATATATATATATATTAGAGAGAGAGAGAGAGAGAGAGAGAGAGAGAGAGAGAGAGAGAGAGAGAGAGAGAGAGAGAGAGAGAAAGAGAGAGAGAGAGAGGGGACAAAGAGAGAGACATATATATATATATATATATATATATATATATATATATATAAGGAAATTAGCGAAAGAAAGTATGGCTACTGCGATTGTTCATAACAAGGAGGGAGACATCCTTATGACCAATCGCAATAGTTTTACTTAGTCTTCTGTCTCATTTTGCCCATATTCGATCTCTCCCATGCTTATGTTCTGTCACATTCCTCTTGATATCCTCTCGGATATTATATTACAGCGACGTGTTATTTTTCTTTTCTTTTTTAAAAAGTGTTTTTGTCGCTGAGGAAGACTTCTTGCCGAAACGTTCGTTGTTTTGGGGCGTCCCCTTTTAAGGTTTTCTTTCACACTTTGTTTTGTTTTCCTCATTTCCTTCTACCTAACCTGATTGACGTCCCCCCCCCCCCATGTTACCCTTCGTATAGATAGAGAGAGAGAGAGAGAAAGAAAGAAAGAGAGGGAGAGATAATGAGCTATAGCTCTAAAAAAAAAAATCAAGCTTTCAAAAGGAACAGTTGAGGCGACAACACTAGACACATTTGTGTCCTTTGCCTCAAGCCTTCAAACCCCCAGTGCATGATTCCCTCACAAAGTGGCACTGGCAATCAGTGAAATTTCCTCATCAACACCAGGCACAGAAACATTGCAAATCCCATCTACATGCATAGGAGCCAAAATGATCAATAAATTGATCGTGGGCCTTAATATATTGAAGAAGAAGTCAACAATTCCATAAGAGACGTGACGTCATGGCACCAGTTTTTGAACCTCCACTTTTGATAGTGATGTTTTAGATCCACTATTTTGATTGTAAAGTGATGGCACCTATTGCTGGGGGTCGCGGGCTGGGTGTCTTCCTTGTTATGTAATCTTACACGTCGCAGAAATAAAATGTTAAGGCGGGAGGGAGGGTAGAAACTAAGTGACCACATGCGTTTAAAACAAAAAAAAAGGTGCTAATCACAAATTACTGATTATGTTTGCCTCCCATGTTTGCCTCCCATGTTTTCCTCCCATGTTGTTTGCCTCACATGTTCTCCTCTCCAGTAACCGCGTTTACATAAAACTAGAACCAGTGTTTGTTCATTCCGTATTTCGTGGATTCTGTTTCTGAGAATCCAAACAAGAAATAAAAACCTGATGACCCACTTACTTGTTTATTTTTGTGCAGCCCTCGCTGGTGTGAGAACCTTTTGGCTTTAAATCCTTTTAACATGACATCGAGTCCTTCTTTGATCTTGACAGGAACGATATAAAAATAGTCAAATGGACCTTCATTTATTTTGAAATATAATAGTAATAATATAATAATAATACAGCATATTAAAAGAGAAATTGAAAAAATCTATATTTTACCACATTGAAATACAATATATTAAAATATAGATTGAAATGTAAACTACTGACATCATAAACTCATACATTGCCATTAAGGAAGGCCTGGGTTTAACTTCGATTTTTACCGAAAATATTTTCAAGTTTAAAATTAAAAATTAAAATTGTGGACGAAGCGTTATTTGTAACAGTTTTGTTCCATAATCTTTTACATCTATTAACGACATCCTCTTTTTTTTAAATAAAAAAGTATCCCTACAAAACACACAGCCACACAAAAGCACACACATACACTCTCTTCTACTCATAAACGTCTGAGGAGAGAGGGTCATTTCATGCTGCAGTAAAGTTTGGTTTTGGCCAAATATTTTTTTTTTAAACTTCAGTTGAAAGATCACGGAAAGAAAAAAAAATTGATTTACATTTACAATGTGTCAATCATTTAACTATACAACTTTTTATTTTGTGGATTGTGTAACATACAACTTCACACCTTGGCTTTTGTGTAACATTTAACCATATACCTTCTCACCTTGGCTTTTGTGTAACATTTAACCATATACCTTCTCACCTTGGCTTTTGTGTAACATTTAACCATACAACTTCACACCTTGGCTTTTGTGTAACATTTAACCATATACCTTCTCACCTTGGCTTTTGTGTAACATTTAACCATACAACTTCACACCTTGGCTTTTGTGTAACATTTAACCATACAACTTCACACCTTGGCTTTTGTGTAACATTTAACCATACAACTTCACACCTTGGCTTTTGTGTAACATTTAACCATATACCTTCTCACCTTGGCTTTTGTGTAACATTTAACCATATACCTTCTCACCTTGGCTTTTGTGTAACATTTAACCATATACCTTCTCACCTTGGCTTTTGTGTAACATTTAACCATATAACTTCTCACCTTGGCTTTTGTGTAACATTTAACCATACAACTTCACACCTTGGCTTTTGTGTAACATTTAACCATACAACTTCACACCTTGGCTTTTGTGTAACATTTAACCATACAACTTCACACCTTGGCTTTTGTGTAACATTTAACCATATAACTTCTCACCTTGGCTTTTGTGTAACATTTAACCATATACCTTCTCACCTTGGCTTTTGTGTAACATTTAACCATATACCTTCTCACCTTGGCTTTTGTGTAACGTTTAACCATATACCTTCTCACCTTGGCTTTTGTGTAACATTTAACCATATACATTCTCACCTTGGCTTTTGTGTAACATTTAACCACATACCTTCTCACCTTGGGGCTTGGTGTAACATTTAACCATACAACTTCTCACCTTGGCTTTTGTGTAACATTTAACCATACAACTTCTCACCTTGGCTTTTGTGTAACATTTAACCATATACCTTCTCACCTTGGCTTTTGTGTAACATTTAACCACATACCTTCTCACCTTCGGGCTTGGTGTAACATTTAACCATACAACTTCTCACCTTGGCTTTTGTGTAACATTTAACCATACAACTTCTCACCTTGGCTTTTGTGTAACATTTAACCATACAACTTCTCACCTTGGCTTTTGTGTAACATTTAACCATATACCTTCTCACCTTGGCTTTTGTGTAACATTTAACCACATAACTTCACACCTTGGCTTTTGTGTAACATTAACATTTCAGTAACTTTATCATTTTTACTAGTCTAATTTCCGTACCTGAGGTGACAACAGGCAGTGCACTATGCAAATAAAAAGACCCTGAAATGATAAAATCCACAAACCATTATATTGATCTGTAACAGTAGCCTTATAAGGTTGATCATACGTACATATAGTTATTGATTATATAGGTTAAATGTGTCCAGAGAAAATCACTCGACCAAAATGGATGATAGTATTTAAAAAAGGAATATCTAATCAATCATGTCTTAATAATAAAAATCAATACCTATTTATTTATTTTTTATTTTTTATTTTTTTTTTTTGGGGGGGGGGCCTGATTTGTGTTTCTAAAAAAAATATATTTACTTGCTCCTAATTTAGATCACTCTTACTGTCTTGTGTATACAAGAGATGTGACATTATAAATAAGGTTAGATGTCCTCACGTTACCAGCAGAGGTCCATCAAAAGTTTCAAGTGACACCATTAATTTTAGGGGGACAAAACTATAATACTTAATTCTCCTGATCAACAACAAATTAATGGATTTGATAATTTAATATAACTGTGTCTAATATTATCGATTAAGATAGGAGGAATTCAATAACTGCGTTAACATAAACAGATTAAGATTGGGGGACTTTGATAACTTGGTCAACGTTAACATCCGTTAATACTAAGAGAGAGAGAGAGAGCACGCGCGTTCAGGCTTAAGTAGTTTTTTAATATATATAACGGGTTGATTAGTAAATCGCAAACCAACTTATTTAAATATCTAATATAAAAGCTTTTGATTCCAATGCGATCCTTTCAAGTTAAATTAATATTTGGAAATGAAAAAAAAAAAACAACTAAAAATACCTGTAATGAATTCAGCAATGCAAAAATATATTGTATGATTACAGTGTCGTGGTTCCATGACACCACAGCCAACAGCCAGGTTATGCCCAGCAGTGGGCACATCATCAAGGTGTTCCTTATGGCAGCGCTGAGGAGGGACAGTGACGAGAGCTTTACTTTTTAGAGCCATGGAGGGTCAGTCAAAGATGTTCAACCTATAAACTTTTGGACGCTATGTGTAAGAGTTCGGTCAAATGAGTGTTTGTTTGTTTGTTTTGTTTTTTTTGTTTGTTTGTTTGTTTGTTTGTTTTTTTTACATGTAGCTCTTGATTAACTACCTGGCTTTTTGACACGTCTTCAGTTGACTGTTCTTTCTCTTGGTATCTGTGATTCTCAGTGCGATTATCAGAACAATGAAGTTTACCTGCGGATTATCAGAACAATAAAGTTCAGATGATCCAAACAATAAAGTTCAGATGATCTAAACAATAAAGTTCAGATGACCTAAACAATAAAGTTCAGATGATCCAAACAATAAAGTTCAGATGATCTAAACAATAAAGTTCAGATGATCTAAACAATAAAGTTCAGATGACCTAAACAATAAAGTTCAGATGATCCAAACAATAAAGTTTGTCTTTGGTAACGGATGAACGTTTAGTTAAACGACGTTCACATCTACGACATTTATAAGAAAAATAGAAGAAAATAAATTGGTTCACATCAAATCTCAGAGCGCTTATTTGTTCCAACAAGTAAAGACACCCCCATTGTAAAATGATAATAATTTCATGACTTACTTGTTATATATCATAATTCTTTTACCACTTATCAACTTTCATACAGGAAACGTGTGTCCTTTTCGAAGGCCAGGAAGTTAGCAAATCAAACACGCTATTCAAAACAATATCATCTCTAGAATTTAACTTAACGTGCGTTGGTTGATTGCGTCCCCTTTTGGTCGGGTTATCTCCCATACTTTGTTTCGCTCATTTCCTTTGTACTTATCCCGATTACAGACTCTCTCCCTTATTACCAGAACAATAAACAAGGCTGGTCCAATAAATGCCCAGATGAGACCTCTATCTATTGACAGCCAGCATCTGTAGAGCATCAGAGACATGGCATGCTTAACATGGCGAGGCAGTGTAAGGTATGTTAGGGAAATAAGTCAAGGAAGACCGATTTGTATGTAGAGAATCGACAATGAAAATACTTTTATCTCTCTCTCTCTCTCTCTCTCTCTCTCTCTCTCTCTCTCTCTCTCTCTCTCCCTCTCTCTCTCTCTCTCTCTATCTCTTTACTATTTAGAGAACGAATGTAAATCCCCTTTTTTATAATATTTAACAGCATTTTTCCAACCAAACATACAAATGGGACTTAATTTGAAACTTTATTTTTCAATTTTTTAAAAAGTTTCTCTAATAAAGAAAGTCTCACATTTTGTTTGCGCCATAACCTTCAGTCCTGGTAACACCAACTGCGGTGGCCACAATAATGGAAGGTGTACCTGAAGTAAACACATCTGTTTATTAATGATTGACACTTTATGCAGTGTTAAATCCAGGTGAGCAATCAATTAAATATTTTTTTAAGGCCGAGGTGTTTATTTATAAATAAATTGTAAACTTATAAGAGAGGTTTCTTAAAAAAAACAAAAACAATAATAATTATAATAATATTCAAAATCGTAAGATAACTTAAGTAAGATGGATTAAAAGTAGAACAGACAAACGGCGCACCATAAGACAGGAGCAGTAGCTTTTTAGCCGAGAGACTGCTCCCGAGGACAACTGTTGACTTCCAGAGCAGAAGCAGGCCTTCAGAGAGCATGATGAAGAACGCCGCTAAGAAAACATAGTGAAGGACGATGGCGATCACCTTACAAGCAAGCTGTAGATCAAAATAGCCAGTGTTTTTGTTAGACGCTTTTGAGATATGATTTTTCTACTCCAAAGGAATAAAGTTGTTTTGTTTTGTTTTTTTTAACTTTTATATATCTGTGTCGATCGATGACTTCTAGCAGGGCCGGCGCTAGGGGATGGCGAAGTGGGCGACCGCGCGTTGCCGTAGTGTATTTATAATAGACCTAAGTCTACTAATAGTTCCTGATCCAGTCAACACAATATTCGGAGTTATTAGAGTAGTCAATTCGTCTGATGGTCAGTCTGGCTCTCATACTACCCCTTCGAGTACGACTATGACGTGTCTTAATAACAATGGCTATGAGAACTCACTGAATGGCTGTTTGAGATAATTTATTATAAATGTCTTGTCTTCAAATTGTTTTATTTATGTGCTGAAGATGTATAATGCAATCAAAAAACATTTCCATTTATTTGGACCAATAAAAGAATCTTATCTTATCTGCGGAGTATATAAAAGAATCTTATCTTATCGGCGAAGTATATAAAAGAATCTTATCTTATCGGCGAAGTATATAAAAGAATCTTATCTTATCTGCGGAGTATATAAAAGAATCTTATCTTATCGGCGAAGTATATAAAAGAATCTTATCTTATCTTATCGGCGAAGTATATAAAAGAATCTTATCTTATCTGCGGACTATATAAAAGAATCTTATCTTATCGGCGAAGTATATAAAAGAATCTTATCTTATCTTATCTGCGAAGTATATAAAAGAATCTTATCTTATCTTATCTGCGAAGTATATAAAAGAATCTTATCTTATCTTATCTGCGAAGTATATAAAAGAATCTTATCTTATCGGCGGATTATATAAAGTCAACGGCACCGTAAAATACAATTTGCCTAAAGTCCCGCACCCTCCTAGCGCCGGCCCTGCTTCTAGCTACTTAAGGTAGGGACGTGTCTACATGACAAGACGCAATGTGTTATGTTTGAGTACCTCGTGTGTCTTGGCAAAGATGCCTCCGACGAAGATGAAGTAAGCCAAAACGAGACAAACACTGAGATGAAGTCGGAGATGCAGCACTGTTTTGTTATAGCTGATGAACCTGGGGGAGGGGACGGGGGGTTTAGTTACATAACATGTATCGATATACTATATTGATAGGACACAATAGTTCAGAAATCCATTCAAGTTTTGATAGAAAATTGATTGATTTTCATCTTTATATCCGGACAACGGAAAGATTTCTAACACAAAGAGTGCTCCGCCCCAACGGGGAACCAATAAGCTGTCCTACATCCTACGTCACACTCGTACTTTAGTTTACAATCTTAAAAAACAACAACTATGCTTTTAAAAAATAATAAATGATGTAATCCTTGGAATACAATTATATTTAAATAAAGGGGATGTGGGGAAAATGTATGGTTTATTCCTCTTATTTTTTTTTTTTGGTTCATATAATCTTAAGTAGATTCAAGATGGCCCATAGCAACAAGTATGGATGATCGAACTCTTCTTAAAACAAAAACAAACAAAGGAACAACCAATATGACAAAATGTTTCATTTTAAAGATAAGACGTAGCTATGTACTTGGCTTACGCTTTCATTTTAGTATATCATTGTCTTCAGATATTATATATGAAAAAAATTTCTAAAAATGTTTTCCTATTATTATTAGTCAGTTTTAGACGATTCAGATGATGGAGTAGTGGATCCCCCCCCCCCACGCCCCAACCCTTCTATCACTTACTTCCATACAACAGCTTGTATGATGACTGAGAAGAGCAGGCAGATGATGGAAATGATGCAACCAACGATGGAGATGATGCTCAGAGATTCTTTCTCCTGAAATACATTTTTTAAAGATGGCTTATGGGGTTCAGCTTTTATTTAATTCTAGACTGTACTGATAGATTGTACTTGAACACTGTGCAGGTAAACAGTTCTGGAAGACTGTACTGGTACACTGTACTTGTTCACTATACTGGTAGACAGCACTGGATCACGATACATGAGATTAGAGAGCGGAATAATTCATTCTCTTCTTAGCGGTATCATGCTTGTAATGGCCTCAGTGGCTCGAGGACACCTGAGGTAGCCATATCACGCTTGTCAGGGTTCAGTGGCTTGAGGACACCTGAGGTAGCTATAGGATGTTTGTCAGGGCTCGGTGGCTAAAGTAGTGACATCATGCTTGTCGAATTTCGGTGGTTTGAGGAAACATGAGATAGTGAAATCATGTCTTTCACATTGAGTGGCTTGACAAAAAACAAAGAAGTGACATCATGTTTGTAAAATGCTATTGGTGCCTTGAGGACACCTGAGATAGTGACATGACTTTCAGAGGTCTGTTACATAAGAAAACATCTGGTAGCTCTATCACGCTTTTCAGATGTCAATGACTTGAGATTGAAGAGAAAATTTGAATCTAATTTGATGATAATTGTGCTTGGAAGAAACAAGTTTAGCATTTATTTATTAAGAGAAGAGATAAATGCTGAGTGATCTATGTGAGCTATAAGACTGGCAATACATTGTGTCATCAGAGGACCTTTTGGTAGAGGCAGTTTGCAGTGCGTCTTGTGTTGTTTGTGTGGTTCATGGTTGTCCAAAGTTGTAGAGCTGTAGGCCTTCATATTTGGTAGAGCTGTAGGCCTTCATAGTTGTAGAGCTGTAGGCCTTCATAGTTGTAGAGCTGTAGGCCTTCATAGTTGTAGAGCAGTAGGCCTTCATAGTTGTAGAGCTTTTGGCAGTGATAATCGTGGAAGTATCAGCAATGATAGTTGAAGAACTATTAGCAGTGATAGTTGTGCATTTATCGTTTGCATTTGTATAAAGTGCGATTTATTGTGTATAAAGTGTGTACGTGATTTATCGTAAATGTGATTGTGGCAAATGATTTTTGGTACGGGAATGTTTTTGTTTTTTTTCAATCAAGCTCATTGCATGTAAAACCAAATAGACTAAAGATATATTTAACCCCAAATACGTCATTAATACAAAGAACATAGCAACTGCTACACAATTAATCTCCACACCAAAACACGCAACCGTTGAACGAAACATGTTTCGTTCAGTTTCCCTTTGAAAAACAGGAAAAACCTACGTCGTGGGTGTCTGTGTGGGGCTCAAAATTTGATAACATGAGTTGTCACCGGCAAGAGTGCATGTGCCAAGTTTCAGTTCGGTAGGATGAAAGGAAGTGTGTCAATTTTCCATCTGAAGATTTTTGCCAAAAACACATGAACAAACGCGAGGTAAACTTAAAGGACGTGGGAGACAACTCACGCTTGTGACGAAAGGATTCATAAGCACAGCAAAGTTTGTCAAGTGATTGCAGGCACAGGTCACCTTTCCATGGCCCTCCTTGACCACATTACAACCCTGGGATGACCAGACACCGATATCACTGAAATTAAGAAACGTACAACTATTTAAATCTATTCAAATGACTCATTCTCATTTGACGCATGCTTCCTCTGATGTATGCTTCCCCCAGAAGATCTAAAAGAGGAAAAAAATAAAACTAAGTGTTGTTGATGAAAGTAAAACGTAACATGATTGTGATTGTACTCACGTCTCTGCTCACTAAATCAAGCTAGTAGTTAAATATACATGTACTTGAATTTGTTTTCACCTGACACATGCTTGCGTAGTTTGAGAAGCCTTACTATTTATTTTCTTCTAAAAAAATCTCATAGGTTAAATTGATTTTAAAATATTCATACTTAATTCGTAAAACTTGCATTCGTGTTCAACCATGATATCAACACAAATGTAACTTAAATAGTGCACCTTACGGAATGGTCCAGGAATCCACACACGGGGCTGGAGTAATGATCCTGAGGAGAACAGAGTTCAGAGATTATACCAAAGACTGACAAACGAATTTAATTAAGTCAATGCTTATTAGCTGATGTTTGGGTGATCTGGTAATCCCATACTGGGGGAACATAATAAAATGTACAAGAAGAGGGAGGGAGAGAGAGAGAGAGAGAGTAACAGGGAGAGAGAAAGAAAGACAGTAAGGGAGAGAGAAAGAAAGAGATGGGGGAGATTAACGGCATGAAGTAAATTAAGTTTAGATATTATTATATCGCGTAAAAAAAGGGAAGATTAGTTGTTGTTTTTTTTTATTGTTTTTTCTTTACATTTAGCATCTTAAATTTGTCCCTGTCTTGAGCAAAAACTTAAATAACTTCTCATAAAACAATTAAAGACAAACATATTCATTCCCTTGTAAATCCTTGTCTAAATATTTGGTGTAAGCTAATTTTCAAAAGGGAAACGTAAACGGAAAAAAAAGTATCTCGAAAAAAAAAACGAAGAAAATACAAAGTAAACAGAAAAAATAAGTAAAAAAAAAAGTCAACCGATAAAAATGAACAGAAATAAACAACACTGAAAACTAACACAATGAAAGCTAACACACTGAAACTAACACACTGAAAATTAACACACTGAATTCTAACACACTAACATTGAGTAGTTTAAAGTTCATCTCCAAAGGTGGGCTGACTTCTTTGAGATCCAGATCAATGGTGAACGAAATAATATGAGAGTTGATGACCTTGTCTTTTAACGGTTGACCTTGCTCATGCCTGAAAATAACATTACACATTTTGACACTAAGCGTTATTTTGACGTCTTTCGGTTAATTTTCATGTGTCTCGCTAGGTAGCTATACTTTCGTTAGTTTTACTTTCATTAACTGCACTTCATTAACTGCACTTTCGTTAACTGCACTTTCGTTAGTTGTACTTTCATTAACTGCACTTTCATTAACTGCACTTTCATTAACTGCACTTTCATTAACTGCACTTTCATTAACTGCACTTTCATTAACTGCACTTTCATTAACTGCACTTTCGCTAGTGCCCTTAACAGACAATGGACACATGTGTCTCGCTAGATAACTATACTTTCGTTAGTTGTACTTTCATTAACTGCACTTTCATTAACTGCACTTTCATTAACTGCACTTGCATTAACTGTACTCTCATTAATTGTAGTTTCATTTTCATCATCCAGCCGTACGGACACTGTTACAGTTTTGATTTCTAACATACAGTGAGCCACTAACAAAACACTATGAACCAAGAGGACAGCTCTTACTTTTCTTGTAGCGAAGCATTGACACTGAATTTATCCACAATCGCCCTGTACAGAACTGCGCAATACTTGACACTGCCTGCAAATACCAAGTAAAACCAACGCTTGGGTCAAGTCAAAGGAGCATCGGTCAATGTCCATAAAGGCACATTGAAGTGTATACTTAAGATGCGCTGGCGTACAACGCTTCCTGACGTGCAGCCATGTCAACAGAAACACTTGTTAAATGTTGATTTCAGGATCGCATACTTGTTTAACTGTTTTCCAGTAGTGGCCTTTTTTTCTTTTTTTTATTTTTTTTTTTTTTTTTTTTTTTTTTTTTTTTTTTTTTTTTTTTAATTTTATTTTTTTTTTTTTTTTTTTTTTTTGCTTGTTCTAACTGTTTTACCTTTTAGTCTAAAGGCCTTGCTCCAGGGATTATTGAAGGAGACAAAAAAAAAACAACATGCTACTGAAGTAGTGACCTGGTTACAGTGAATATTAGATAATAATATATGTTATTGATAATTTACATTAAACTGAATGACAGTTTACCATTGACATCTCGTTTCTTGAAAGCTTTGTGTGACAGGTAGAGCGTTGTGTTAGACTTTAAGACCCAAGCCTCATAATTATGATAATCTTGATTGTTCAGATCAGGGAAGTAGATGTCTTCGGCAGTGGTGTCACACTGAACGGCTGTCAGATCATGTCATTATCAGAAAAAAAAATATTTTAAAATAATATTCATTCATCAATGTAGATTTCTTTTATGAAGTGCATCTATGTAATATCATTATTTCATCTTTAAAAACCCTTCATTATTTTATTTATTTTAAATATGCTTTATCCACATCAATCTGAAAACGTATTGACACACTCGTAAAACAATAGGCCTGAAAGGAGTAGGTTTAACTTGTTTGATATGCTCATTTAATAATAATAATAATAATAATAAAGTTCATTTCAAAAACACGCTTCATCCCCAAAGGCTCGAAGCGCGGTACAAAGTCAACAAAAAACATATCTATAATTTACCACATTTAAAACAAACGCAACACTACAAAAACTAATTACAAGCATACAATGGCAAAGTCTTTCTAGCCATTTCAACCCTGAGCAACACAGCCAATATGCATTAACTGGAAACTAAGGTAAACAATCATCCCAGAATTTCAACTGTATTGTCTTAATACTCAACCCATTGAATGACCAAGAAATAGGACGGGAAAATCACTTTTTTTTTTAAAGTTCATGTATATTGTGGAATAGGTAAATAGACAATCCTCAAACCTTTATAAACACAATACACGAAAAGAGTAAACTTAAAACTTATGTTCCAAGTTTCAGATCTCTACAATTAATGGACTCTACTGAAATTTAGGAGCAGAATTGACTACAAAAAATATATATCAAATAAATAAACTAATTTGATTCAAAAACAAAATAGTTCATGTATTTTACCAGTTTCAATCAATTATAGCATTTTAATGATCAAGCCACACGAATACGACTTAACAATTGATTTACAGTGCGCATGACAAAGGAAATGTTTTATATCCTAATTATTGCCCTTAGTTCACACGTCTGATATATGCTAGCTACGATACATGAGCCCCCCCCCTCCCCCTCCACCCAGCGACTTCTACCGCATGGATTTACTTTCAACTGCTAAGTAATTTATTGTTTAAAATGTTGTTTTTTTTCTAAATTTAATTTTTATGTTCATACTTAACTGCTTTCGAACGTACAGTGACTTGTCATGAAATGTGCTTAACATAGTCACCTATATTTTCCCACACCACCACCGTCGTGCTGTTGAAGAGTCCACTCTGGTTTCCCACGCTGCTCTTGGCGAGCAAATCAAGTACAACAAGAATATCGACTCCTCCTTGTCCGGAGTAAGTTTTAGCCGATTTGACCACTGAGCAATGCTCGTCCACCGCACTTTCTTGGACTTCAACGTCTCCCCAGCTCTCGTTCCCTTGTGTTAGCAGGTGATTAGCTACAGAGATGTAATTCTGAAATAATGATTGATTGAGGTACGTTGGCTGGTAATTGTATACAATATATAGAATCTTTAAAAAAATCATTTTGATGCTTTGAACATTAATAAATTCATCTTACTGGTTTTCGTTTTTTTTTGTTGTTTTTTTTTTGTTTAAAGCAGTATCAATTTAATTGAGGAAATTCCTAAAATCAAAACATATGTTTCAAATGTAAAATGTTGTTAAATAAAATGACAAAGATGTATACGCCAGTCATACTGTTTCATTTACAACCATTCTCCCATAATTCCATACAACGCGCTGTCTCATTCAGTCTTAAATAACTAACTTGAAATGTTCCATAAGCCACCCTGAGTGTCTCATTCAGGACCACCTCAGCAGCGTAGCTAAAGAGGTCAAGGACTCTCTGAATGTCACTAGGCACGACCGTAGGGTGTTCATCGAATCTCTGTTTAGTTTCTGATCCAATAACACTCACTGTATATGTATTTATAACACAAAGTTTACACTATTAATAGACTGCATATTCTGTTTTAGTAATTTATTGCATGTAATATCGGTTGTGCATGTGGTGGAGAGATGTGTGTGTTATAATTTAATCAGTGTTGATTTCTCAGGCACCTTGGGTTGATTTCAATTTTATACCGGATTTCTTGATTATATTTAAAAGCACCATATATTTATTATACAAGCTAATGAAAATCTAATATTAACAAATATTTAAAAATTGTTAAAAACTCATTTAAAAAATAATTTATTAATGATGTTTAACTTTCATGTTATCTCTTAAGGTTAAAATTAACGCAAAATTTTCAAAAATTACTTAAAGTTTCATGAATTTCTTACATAACAATGAATTACTTACACTTTGTAGAATTGTTTAATGTTCTATAAACCATATGTTCATTACTCACTTCACATGTCTTTGAATTAATTACAGTGCCACGAACAACTAATATTTCCATTACTTACTTATATGACCATGAGTTACTTCCATATATAAAAATAAATAACAGTACCTTCGAATTCTTATATGTCCAGGAATTGCCAATAGATCCATGAATAAAATAAAGTTCGGTGAATTACTTATATGTCTATGGATTACTTACATGTCCAAGAAAAGTTTAATTTGAATTGCGTCTGTAACAATACAATAAATTATGTTTTTTAGACAAATATTACATAAATGTTCATTTTAAGGGGAGCATAAACTTGACACATTCTCTGCTCTGTTACTTTCACAGAAACTCTCCTTTACATGACTACATAACAGAAATGCTTTTTTTTTTTTTTTTTTTAAACTACGTCTTAAATATTCGTTAGCCAACATTTTTGATTGGAAATTTTCAGTAATTCTAATTTAGTGTTACTGGCCTATTGTTTCCATAAAAAATAACTACAAAAATATCATTAGAAATACTACATCTGGCAGACTTGACCGAAGACATCCGTCATAGGTTGCAGGGCACCAAACAGACTGGTTGTTGCAGTATCTCTTCGTTTCTCCTGTGATCATTTCACAATTTTGATTTTATGTATTAAAATTCATTTTTTTTTCCTTTTAAAAGCGCATTTTTAATAATGTATGTTTTATTTTGTTGAGCACGTGTTACAGTACACATGTGTTACATAACACATCTGAAGAAGAGGGTAAACCATGGAACATATTCCAAACGTGTTAATGTGGTGTGTGTGTTTCTTTTTTCAGTTAACGTTTTCATAGAATTATTTCTTTTTGTTCGTTTTACATTTTTTTTCCCTTTGTAAATAATGTTAAATTGTTAAGCTCCTATTAATAAATCACGAAGTCCCTATGATCTGAATATCACTGTCTTAACATATTACATTTTGTACATCAGCTGTGATTCATTATGTTACAATTACATATTGATAATCAGTTTCAGCAGTTTAGCAGTGTCAATGGATATGTTTAATTTGAATATTAAATTTAATTGGATAATCGAATTTAAAAGTTAAAATATACAAAATGGAACTGTTAATATCATTTCAATGAATATGTTTCATGGCAGATAGACACAAAATATTTTACTACCTGTAAAACCAGCAGGGCACTTCTGGTGAACAAATGTTCCAATCTTATTGGATTTTCGGTCAGTACTGGCTATATCTGGGCAACATTGACCTGACGAGAGAAGCAATGCAGGCATAAATTAATTCATCTTCTAATAAATGTGTGCAACTATGGGTACAAAGAGACAACGGAGTAACTCAGCAATCAGTCAATTGCTACCCATCAGTAACACCATAACAATGAGGGCGCACACCACAATGGGGGGGGGGGAAGGACATACACAAGCAGTGCATAAGCTGGGCATCATTGCATTTATCAGCGTATGATATTGTTCATGGGTAAGCGCAAAAACGCGTGGAGTTAATACTTTATCAAACATTTAGTTTTCCGTGATTTCTAGCGTAGAGGAAAATAGCATGCAGCGCAGTATCGAATAAACCTGGCCAATTTGGTGGCTGTGCCAGCATTTGGTAGTGACTTTTGAGACATAGGCTGGGGGTATTTTTTTAAGAAGGTGTTGAGATACACTGTCAATTCACCAGGTTTTTTTTATAAAAATTTCTTAACATTTATTAAGATCTATAAGAATGCTAGCTCTTTAGTCAAATTGTATGAACTTGTAATGATGAACTATTCATTAAATAACAAACTTTCTAGCAACCAGATTAGCGAAGTATTTGATGCTATTACATAGGAAGAGCTTGTCCGTATTGAATCATATACCATTGGAGCAGCATGGCAGTATTTGATAGTATTACATAGGAACAGCTTAGCAGTATTTGATGATATTACATAGGAACAGATCAGAACTAGTTGATGATATTACATAGGAACAGCTTGGTAGCACAGTAAAACCTCTGTTTTTAGACCCTCTCTTAAACGACTCCTCCAACATTCGAACGGAAACAAAATTCCACCGATGCTTTGTACTATACAAACGACCTCTACTAAACGACTCCCTCTCAAACGCGACTTGCAACCTTTAAATATTTCAATTTTACGACCTAGCACCTGAACAAGTCAGATGCCAAAGCAATGCTATATTTGTGCGCTTGAAGAAAACAGTTTCTTTACAATATCTAACAGCAGACGATGCCCTTAAGCTGCTAGGAAGAAGACAACCAGCTCAGTGACACTGAGAATGAGAAAGATGAAGAACCACCTATCAACTTCTCCACTGTCTTGACATACTCCAAGAAGCTTGTCAGATTTGCCCTGAGCAGGGACCTTTCAGACCTTGCCGGCACAATGTCTGGTGTTCAAAGTGATATATTGAAAGAACATGCAATTGAGCTTTCTTTAAAAAAAAACAACTATTCAAAGACAGAATAAAAATAATTAGAACACTATTAATGCACTTATCTTATACAAAAATAGTTAAAACTCTAAACATGCACTCAGCCCTTACACACGCTTTTAAACAACTATCACACCAGCATTGATTTTTTTATTTTGGAATTTATGAAGAACAGGAAGATAGTGACTGTATTGGTTATGAGACTGAGTCTACTCTATATTTCTGAAAGAAAGATGGTAGATATTGCCCATACTTAATGGTACATGTATTTTTTTGTAATTAATTTAAATGTTCACTCAATTTTCTAAATGTCGTTTTTCGAAAATGTCCTTTTTAAGACCCGTCCAATTTACGACCTCGTTTTTATGGCAATTTAAAGGTCGTAAAACGGAGGTTTTATTGTAATTGATGATATTACATAGGAACAACTTGGCACTATTTAATGATATTACATAGGAACAACTTGGGGCTAGTTGATGATATTAAATACGAACAACTTGGTGCCAGTTGATTTTATTACATGCGAAAAACTTGGTGCCATATGATTTTAATTACATAGGATCAGCTGCCTCCAGAGCTTAAAAACATATAAAATTTCGACCAAAATAAGTTGACAAATCTTAATCTATCAGCGTGTTCATGAGTATCAGATCTGACAGCTTATAGAGCCTTAGCGGAAAATACGTTATAACAAGGAAAATCATCGATCTAGAGTTAAAACAAATTGTTAAGTCTTGTTCTGTCTCGCAACTTACCAATGACAAGAATGCTAAAATGAGCAGCAGACGAAAATAAGTTGTCAGTTACAGTGGCGGATAAAAACAGGAGTTGGTCCTCCGAGGGAAAGGGTGCAACGACATAGACACGACCTTTAGCATCTACGGCCACGGGGTACGAGGGTAAGTCTGAAAGTGGAAGTAAAATTTGTTACAAGTTTACAGCCTTTAAAAAAATATATAATTACCTTTTTTTTTTTGGACCCTTGAGTTAGTGGTTTAAATTGAACTTGGGCCTAGTGTCTGAGTCGTACACAAAAAGTTTCTCAGAGTTTCATTTGGAATATGAAATTTTAAATTGTGAGGTATCCATTTTTTTTTTCAGAGATAGAGAGGCCAGGTCCGTGAACTTTAGTACTGATGGCACGGGACGGTGGTGGTGGGGGGTTAATCAATGTGCCTTAATGGGGAGCCCAAAAGTTTGCTGCATTAACATTATTTTCATCAATAAAATAATATCAAAGCACATTTTGGCACCCCTAACTAGCTGGCGCCCGGGGACATCTGTCCCCCCTGCCCCCACCTCGCTACGCCTCTGCCCAACTTATTGTTTACCATAACAACCCCCATCATGACGACAACCAAAAGAGAAATGAACACAATCGTTACATGATTTTTCTTCGTATGTCAAACTCTTGAAAGCTGGGTTGACATCCGGGTCTCTACAGTAGAAATAGCCTAATGTCATGTTGAAAAAGGTGGCAGACGAACAGATGCTGCTTTCCTCCACTTCATCGCAAACCATGGGTTCATTGGCGTCCACTATTGTTATCGTCACGTTAACAGAAGAAGCCAATAAGCTGGTAGAGTCGTTGGCCTATTTTTAAAAAAAAAAAAGGTTTTATTTTAAATCAGGGTTTCTCAACCTTTACTACGTTCTGCACCCCAAACGAATCACTTCAACTAGTCTCTCACCCCTTACAAATCATTTGACTATGCCGCATATCCCTTACAAAAGTAAAATGAATTATAAAATATGAAATTTTATTTTCTTTATTCTATTATTTAGAGAGCTTTAGACCTTAGAAAATGATTTTGTTATTTAGTAAATGATTTTAGATGATAAGTTTTAAATGTATAAACTTCTTTATTATAACTTAAAAGTTAATGTATCCGTTGTTTTCTAAAAATACCTTTTCCTCGAACCCCCTGATACCCCGTCCCCAGGGAAAGTTGGGAAAATCTATACACAGTAATGAAAATAATGTACATTTAAGCGTAACTTTACAAGGGTATGCTATTTTCTCTATAAAATTCGCACATTTATTATATCTTACCGTAATCACAATCGAATGGGTTTCTGTGATACTGGAAAGTCTCGGTTTTAGGTTGAGTGATAGACCACCTTTCAAGTTCAACTGAAAGAGACCTGGCAACACATACAAGTCAATGACGTTTTAAGTACACACTGGCTTCATCACAAAACAGAATTATCAGCTTACCAAAAATAATTACAGCCTAGTCGTGAGACCAGACTACTGTCTAGATCAGTTGTTCACAGGCTATTTCAGCTATAGAGCCATAAAGTCGATCATTTTCTTTTTCATCCGAGATGGTCAAATTCAAGAAACTTCAATTTTGGTCCTAGAAATTATTGGATTATCAACATCCCCAATGCCTAACTCGTTTGGACGAAAAAAATATCAAATATTGGAGAAAAAAAATAAATCAACAATTTTTAAAAATACACGGTTAACCATGTCTTACGTACAATGATCTTTTCGGGTTGGGAGTTGAAAAGCTTATTTTGTACTTATTCATTGAGGATGGGGCGGCGCTAAATGTTTCAGTGAAACCGGTGGAGTGAAATGGAAGATATGACTTTTCCCCGGACATAATAACTTGACCACCTTTCATTGGGTTGATGTTTGGAGACTACCTATCTAAAGTATGTCTCAGTGTCATGGGACCAACTCTGTACCAAAGTACAATATATGTACTTAAGTAACCATCTCTGTATGTAAGGGACAATCACTGTACTAAAGTAAAAATCAGTGTATTAAAGGGGCAATATCTGTAATAAAGGGAAATCCTTGTACGAAAGGGACAAAGTCTGTACTTAAAGGATTATTTCAGCCGTGTTTAGGCCAATGACTTGATGAACATCAATTCTTTTCACATAGACCCCATCATTTCTCTGTTGAGGTTTAACTTTGACATTCTTTTTAATTTTTAAAAAAAATTATTTATTTATTTTTTTTTTTTTTTTTTAAATTAATTTTAATATTTTTTAATATAACCAGAACGAGACTTTTGCTGGACTTTAGAGTTTAAAATAACTTATGTAAATAATCGCTAATAAAGTTAGTTCTAATCAGAGGCGTAGCAGGTGGTGGGCAGGGGGACAGATGTCCCTGGGCGCCAGACTAGTTAGGGGCGCCAAAATGTGCTTTGATAAAGTTAAAGCGTTTTATAAGTTGAAAAAAGAAAGGGAAGTGCTTTAAAATGAATCTTGTCCCCGGGGTGCAAACACTTTAGCTACGCCTGTGGTTCTGGCAGTAGTAAATATGGCCTAGCCAAACATTTTAGTTAACTGCCGACAAACCGAACACGCAATGCTCTAAGTATGTGTTTTATGTTTTCTCCATTTAATTTAGTGATGGTCATTCTGAACCTGAGATTAAATTAAGCTATTTACCAGCTCCCGTAATCAGCAGTTTTAAAGGTATTCATACGCTGAAGGTTTGCAAGCGGAGTGGTTCCCTGATGAATGAGTGTGCGCATTTATAAAATATAAATTTTGTAGTAAACCAATTTTAAGAGTATCTTGCTCCCTATGCTTTTTGACAGTGGGCTTGAGTATTATATATAGAATGCATGAAACTTAAACTCCGAATTCAACGACAACAAAAATTACTTGATGATGAGCTGTACGTAATGAATGACTTTGTGTTGTCGGTGTAGGCCGTCAGAGAGAGAAACACGTAGCCGATTGGTGAGGTGTCGTTGATCACAGCGTCATAACTGGAGTACGGGTCAAACACTGGGGCGTTGAAAATGGGCACTGCAACTTCTTCCGTTGTCTCGTAAACTCCAAGCAAAACCGTTGCCAGGAACTGGTGATGAATTCAAAACATTAATATTTATAGAATGTTTTCTTTTCCTTTTTTTTTCAACTTAGGTTAGGAATGGGAAATTTCTAATTGCTCAGTTGACACGATCAAATGTGCGTTAAATTTTCGTCATATTTATTTTTAAACGCACTATTTTGCAACGCAGTGCGTTTAAAAAGAAATTTGACGTAAATATGATCGTGTGAACTGAGCGTAAGGGATGTTCATTTCTTATTATTGAACAATTACCGCCGTTATGGGGCAACTTGTCCTACCCAATTTGTTAGGATTATATTTTCTTTTTAGGTAGCGGCCTAAGACAACGAAGATAGGCTTCCCAATACATTGTCTCTAAAGCGGTCGGCCTGCCTTTGCCCTAATGCAGCACAGATGGTAAATTATTCCTGTTTTAAATGTCTTTGAACACTTTTAAATGATCGTATAGGTAACTTTGATAAATGTAAACACTGAGAAGTGAGGCAGAACATATGAAATTCTTGACATAATAATTACATTATTTTTATTTTTTTTCTTTAATGAAGCATCATTTTTCACGTATTCAAGCACTCCATTAGTGCTTGTCCAGCTTACCTGAAATGAGCTAGGTACATACTCCAGGAGGCTGAAGTGGAGTCTGTAGTTTCCAGCTGTTGTCGCATTGTAGTCCACACGCAGAAACTCAACATTCGAAGGCCACACGATGTTTTTAATTTTAAAATCACCGCTTAATGATCGCGTGCAGATCAAGCTAAGAGTGATTTCATCCCCAACAGACCAGTAGTTTGGTCGTATTGTGTCCCATGTTAAAGAACATTCTGGCCCAGAAACTGAATTGATAGAACGGGAAAAGAAATTGTTTAATATTGAAAAATATGCAAAACCATGGAAGGTGTATTCATAATGTATAGTTAAGTGCATTTAATCAAAATAATGATCAAATAGAACTCAATGACAGATTTGGAACAAATTAATGACACCCAAAAGAGAGGTACGCACAGGTATTGGACTAACTATCTCTAGTCCGCAAATGTATTAGCATAACTATCTCTAGTCCGCCAATGTATTAGAATAACTATCTCTAGTCCGCCAATGTATTAGCATAACTATCTCTAGTCCGCCAATGTATTGGCATAACTATCTCTAGTCCACCAATGCATTGGCATAACTATCTCTAGTCCGCCAATGTATTAGCATAACTATCTCTAGTCCGCCAATGTATTGGCATAGCTATCTCTAGTCCACCAATGTATTAGCATAACTATCTCTAGTCCGCCAATGTATTGGCATAACTATCTCTAGTCCGCCAATGTATTGGCATAATTATCTCTAGTCCGCCAATGTATTAGCATAGCTATCTCTAGTCCGCCAATGTATTAGCATAACTATCTCTAGTCCGCCAATGTATTGGCATAACTATCTCTAGTCCGCCAATGTATTGGCATAACTGTCTCTAGTCCGCCAATGTATTGGCATAACTATCTCTGGGACGCCCGTGTGTTGGCATATTTATCTCTGGGGCGCCCATGCAATGGCATAACTATCTCTGGGGCGTCCATGCAATGGCATAACTATCTCTGGGACGCCCATGTGTTGGCATAATTATCTCTGGGGCGCCCATGCAATGGTCGCCAGTGTATTGGCATAACTATCTCTGGGCCGCCAATGCAATGGCATAACTATCTCTGGGGCGTCCATGCAATGGCATAACTATCTCTGGGACGCCCATGTGTTGGCATAATTATCTCTGGGGCGCCCATGCAATGGCATAACTATCTCTGGGACGCCCATGTGTTGGCATACTTATCTCTGGGGCGCCCATGCAATGGCATAACTATCTCTGGGACGCCCATGTGTTGGCATAATTATCTCTGGGGCGCCCACAGGGCCGGCCTTAGGCTACTGCAACCTATACGGCTGCAGTGGGCCCCGCACTATTTTTTCTAAAACAAAATCTTAATTTTCCCTTATTATCCTTATTTCTACCCAGACTGGGCCCCGCGCAATCCGTTTCGCATAGGGCCCAGCAATTGTTAGGGCCGGCCCTGGGCGCCCATGTATTGGCATAACTATCTCTAGTTCCCTCACGTGGCTAATAAACCACAGAAGAGTCGCCAAATTAGATTTTCTTTTCCTTAAAATATTTTTTATAAGCAAAACATTTAAACCATTGCTTCCTAAATGTTGACGAACAATGAGAAGACAAATTCTTCAAGCTATTTTTTTAACGTCAAGAACTTTTTATATTAAATGAAAATCATGATTGTTAAAACTCTATAATTGTGCTTAGCAGGCTGATAAAATAATGGATGGATTTAAAAATAAAATTTAAAAGCAAAACAAGTGTGAGTCCCCTTCTTGTCATTTCCTGATTTGATTTTTCATTTCTCTTCAGTGTGGCTGCTCGGGCTAATGATTTGCCAGACGCTGTTTTTTTTTCCCTTTTCTTTCTTTTCTTTTTTTCTTTTTTTCTTTTTTGTTTTTTTTTTGTTTTAATACTTACATACTACATCAAGAATCAGTTCGTTTTGTGATGTAGCTTCCAAAGTCCTCCACACAGCTGCACATGAGTAGGAGCCTTTGTCAGCCGCACTCACGCTGTTGAGGACATAAGCGTCATTGGTTGACTCTTGAATGAGCGTAGAAGTATTCCTGTAGAAACGGTAGGAATCAACAGTCCTTGACTCCGACCGGCATCTGAGCGTCAGCGCGGTCCCTCGTTCGATGCTTCTTGGACCACACGGTGACAGATACGGGGACTTCGGCTTCACTGCAGACAAACGTGGTGATGAAAATGTCACTGACGACAGGTCGTGGCTCAAGGAGACAAATGTCATCTTTATAGTTTCATGTCGCTGTCATAACTTAATTACGTTTTGTTTTGTTTTTTTGTGTTTTTTTAAGAAAGGGGGGGGGGGGTGAGTAACTCCAGGAGAGCTCAATGACCCATTGGCTGTCCTCTGTCAGATCAAGTATGGCAACAGAATCAAGGAACATCTCAGATTAATACAAAATTAAACAAAATTAATTGTTTTCCTAAACAACATCTAGAACATTGGATTTATGACCCGCAATATCTGAGTTATTCACCACGATAATACGAACGTATAGAAAAAGCTCGTGAATATCCCCCCTGATTAGACCTAGAATTTCCAGTAGGAATTGTCCCTGGATAAGGAATAAATGACATACAATAGCAACAGATCGAAAAATACCAGACTTACATTTAACAGGCAGTGAGTACCCAATGCTCGGGTCTGGACTTACAGTTAACAGGCAGTGAGTACCCAAAACGCGGTTCCAGTTGGTTGACACAGAAATACGTTCCCTCGTCGACACCAATGCCGGCATTCTCAATGATGAGCTCACTGGTAGTCTGTTTAATGAACCGTCCGTTGAAGTACCACGAGAAAACAGGTAAGGGGTTATTTGCGGTCACACGGCCACTGGTTCCACACACCAGCTTGATACGGTCTCCATCTGTAGGCGAATCTCCTCCGGGGAAAGAGTATATAGTTTTGTAATCTCTGCTGGGGGCGATTGGACTTCCTAAAGAGTACATATATTTTAATGTTGGTGATTTTTTTTTAGAAATATCGTTGATATAACTGGTTTAGATATTTATTGAAAGGCCTTGAAGAAAAAACGTCGTTAAATACGTTTCGAGAGTGTATGGATAAATAATTATTAACAAGTGTGGTGTGTCAAGATGGAATACCGAATGGTTGTATTTGTGATTGAATTCTATTTTATTTATATCACGCATGCGTGAACCATAGTTGCGGGAATGGTTCACTGGAGAGGGGGGACATACAGGATGGGCCACGAAGAAGTTGTATAACCAGGTTAGCGGACAAGTACATTAGTTATATCCACCTTTTTTTTTTTCAAACCACCATTTAAAGCAGATCCTGGAGGAAAAAAAAAAGATAATTGGTTTGCAGATGTTGGGACAACATATACTTGAAACACAGATACTGGCACCACAGATACTGAGACCGCAAGTACTGAGACCACAGATAATGGGATCACAGATAATTTGGACCATAGATACCGGGATAACCAGCAATGGTCCCAGAATCTTCTGTTGCTCATGGGTAAGTCAACTAACAATACACTTGTGACACTATATTGCCAGGAGGCGGGTGAGGTTTTCGTGGCCCACAGTTACAGTCTGCAGTTTGACCTATTTGTACTCACGACAAGCCGTGGCATTCAACCTTCCCTCTCCCCTTGTTTGTTGTGATATTGACTTCACCGATTAAATGTGTATCGCCAATACTTTTTACCCACCCCTCCCTTGATTGGGTAAAGGTTGTTTTTAGTTCGAATACGCTCTATTTCTCCTAAAGAATGTTATCAGGTGACGTAATTTCTAAAATTTCTTCTTAAGTGTGTTCTAATTTATTCCTTATATATAAGCCGGTAGCTTTCCTGGCCGAGAGATTTTTGCTGTTTTCCCTTGACATTTACGAGACGTAATGCACTTACAAGATTGTTCTGTGTGTGTGTGTGTGAGGAGATTAACATTTGCATCTTTCGAAGGTTGAACCTTTACACTTTCTGTGATGTACGTTGAAATCGTTTTTATATCTGTATATTTGAATGTGCATTTTTACTTAAATGTAATAGTAGAATCAAATTGAATAGGATGGGATCACCAGCTTTCGTAGCGTTGTTTTTTTAAAAATTGTTTTACCGGGTTTTTTTTTTATTACAGTTCTTTGTTACCTAGTGTTCATTTAACGAAGCGTATTTTAAAGTTGATTATTATTTTGTTAAACATATAACGAAAAGTACAATTCAATCTTGATAATGCTAGTCTAAACTATTTTTAAATGTTATGTTATCGACAGTGCTTTTTTAACATTGACCGTTTTGACTAGTAAACGTACTCATGTATATAGTTACGACAAGCCAAAAACAAGTTTTGGGCACTTGATATTCACACATCCTCTAGCCCCCCCCCCCCACTTTTTTTTCAAATTCAAACTATTTCCTTTATATATATATATATATATGTATATATATTCCTGGAGGAGGGGGGGGATCCGGCCCACTTTGTTTCATATAACTATCAATGGTAAAAGATGCATGTCAAATGAAAACAAAATGTTTACTTATTTTTTAATGTTTTGTTATCTACAGTGCTTTTTTAACATTGACCTTTTTGACTAGTAAAAGTACTCATTTATATAGTTACGACAAACCAAAAACAAGTTTTGGGCACTTTATATTCACACATCCTCTAGCCCCCCCCCCCCACTTTTTTTTCAAATTCAAACTATTTCCTTTATATATATATATATATATATGTATATATATTCCTGGAGGAGGGGGGGGATCCGGCCCACTTTGTTTCATATAACTATCAATGGTAAAAGATGCATGTCAAATGAAAACAAAATGTTTACCAACCAGTACCATCTGGCTACACAGTGTACCGTGAGACAAAACTTCCTGTACCCAGCGCTGCTTTCTTTAAACACAAAAAAAATTTTTTTTACAACTTGTGACAAAATGTCTGACGCCATTCAAACTAGGGCATACCAAGAAAGAAACTTTAAATCTAAGCTAACATCCTGTGGGACATTCCATGATGCGCGCGTCACATCCTTTTGTTCAAACTTTCAAACGCTTCATATTAGGTTAGTCATGTATGCTAAATATTGGCTTAGAGGCTACTATTGAACAAATTTCCAGCATGTCCTACCACAGTTCGTCTAGACCTTTTTTTTAATTTCGGGGACTGGCAAGGGTTATCAGTGTTTTGATTGACGTTATTGTTGAACCTTCTAGTAGCTTTTTTTTATATTCTAGAGAAAAGTGTAGAAGGGCGTGACAAACAGTATCAGTGGGCCCGGGGACCTCTACTATGAGTTGCTCTGTGCCAGAGTGTTGAAATTTGACTGACAGATGTATCTTGTTTAATCAACTTGACAGGTTCAGTTTCTTATTCGCGTATTACTATTAAACGCAAATGCTGCTTCCTTTTCCAAACATATTCAGTGACTCTGGAACTCTTACATATCCCTGGGTGCTGGGTGGCCGAGCAATATAAACTGAGTCAGTCTCAAGCTGTTGGTCTGGAGTTATCCCCAGAAAATGAATAGACGAGCAAAACCATCGCCAGCACCCCGGATGGATGGAACTCGTTAACATAAATGGTCATTCACCGAACAGAAGGCAAACTTGGAAATCAGTCCCAGAGATGAAAGTCCCGTAGGAGAAGTAAATTGACACAATGAACATTCGGACAAATCGTGCAACCTAGAACAGTGAAACACTGCTGGTCATCTACTGCATGCTGGCCTATTTCCAGTTGTTTTGACTAAGTCTTGCCATTGGATCAAATAGGACAGGAAGAGAGAGAGTGAGGCTGACGAATTGAGCAACTTTCTCGAAATGTAAACAAAATGCGGCGCAAGTCAAGACATAACTACACATATCCCAAGATAGAGCAGCGTTTCCTCTGCATGATGGATCTTGAAATTATTTGTAAAGTAGGATGAATGTCTATGTTTTAATGAATTGAAACTAGTGCATGCAAAACATCACAATTACAACAACAAAAATATATTCCTCTGACAGCTTTCAACCCACCACGAGACATCTTGCAATGTTTTCGGAAATGCTCAAATGAGAAGAATATTTGGTCAGCTCACCAGGAAAAGTCAGATTTAGCGGCTCTGACAAATTTGACGCGCTCCTAAGGCTTTCAACTGCACATCTGTAGATTCCAGAATCGTTGGCCGTGCCACCGTGGATCGTGTAGGTTGTCGAGCTTGAAATTCTCAGCGGCCGGTTGTCCTTGTAAAAGACGTAGCTGAGTATCCCTGCGCTCTCTGTGTAGCAGTCAAGCATTATGTCTATGTCATTGTTTAGCGATATGTTGCCACACGGAGTTATGAGGGGCGTCTTTGGTAGCACTGAAAAAATAAGTCCAATTGATAATGTTGCATTTTTCACATTTTTTTTTTCATTACAAAATGACAGAAAAATACATTTTTTTTTCCGAATTACCATTTTGGCACGAGATTACATTTGTTAAATATGTCAATTTGAACCATGGATCTTGTGTTTCATTGGATACTGCATTTACTTGAATCGTATTAATAAATGTATTTAAAAAATATAGCTACTACCCTTAAGGTGATGTGTAAACTTGGTCAATTAAATCGACATTTATCCTTTTTGAGTTGTTGTTGAGTCGAGGCAGCCATGATGAGCATTAGGATAAGCTTTAAGATAAGCGAATACCAACATTCTTGAGTCCCTTCCATTTCCTTATAAGGGTATTCCCAGAGCTTATAAGACGGGCTAAAGAAAATGGGGCTCTTTCAAATACAGAGAGATACGATATATTTTAAAAGGGTTGACAGATACATCAGTTTGTTAAGATTATAGACAATTTGATCACAACAAGCTAATGTTGAGGAGGACTGGGAGATGAGAACAAGAGCAGCTAAACAAAGCAGACAATTATTGTTAACTTTATGTCTTGTTTACCTAAAACTATGTCTGCTTTTTTTTTTTTTTTATTTATATTCACTTCGCTTTTGTTCTTGGCTGGCTGAGTGACTGGCAGAGTATTCGGATGGCTGATTGACCTACTTTCCGTCCGGCTATTGAGCTGAAACTTTGCACATATATTCTTTGCCGGTGACAACACATTCTGTCAAATTTTCACCCCTAACCCCAAAAATTCGGGTTTTCCTGTTTTTCAAGGTGAACAGAAGTGAAATTTGATGACGCCGATCACACGAAATAAACTGTTCGATAACTGCGCTAAATGAGATTCTTTAAAACCAAATAGTGCAAGTGCGCTTGGTGCACAATATCTTCTTTTGTTTTTCTGAAATAGTTGGGAAAAAAATCTACGTTGTGAAAATGGGTGGGTCATTAGAAGACTAATATAGTTCAGGGCGGGACAAAATTGTGTGGTTGCAAGCCTTGGAGTGGGGTGGGGGGGGTGGGGGGCACAAATTGGGATTCTTATAAGGTGCGTTACTTTTATGCATGTTTTGTCAAATTTTCAACGCCCTCCTACCCCCCCCCCTCAAATTGCTTAGTATTACATTTTAAAAGGGATTCGTTCGAAAAACTTTGTTATCAGAGGTTGCTTCATTTTTTAACATAAAATCGTGTGTTAACTGCTGAAATCCATTTAAGATAATAATGAGAGCAATGGGAGCAATGAGAGCAATGGGAGCAATAAGAGCAATGAGAGCAATAAGAGCTATGAGCAGTGTTTCTTTCAGAAATTTTCCCCCGTGGCAGTTCGTCTGATTTTTTTAGGGGGGGGGGGCACTTCAGGTTCTTTGGGGGGGGGGGCAGTTCCCGTTGATTTATTGTTGGACATATTTTTGCTCCGGGGGGGGGGGGCCTGCCCCCCGCCCCCCCCCCCCCCGAGATATAGCTGAAAGAAACCCTGACAGTGAGAGGCCAACACTTACCGGTGATGTTAATAGAATCGCTGGCCGAATAGTTTCCGGGCTCAACGCACGAGAAACTGTGTTGGCCTAGAGTTGCCCTAGGTATCACCAGAATGTCACCTGTCGTCTTCGGCAGGGCCAGCCCATTGAAGAACCACGTGAAGCTGTTGTTGGAGTATCTCGGCAAGTACGTCGAGCTGCTGTTGCCACACTCAAGGAGAAGTCTGTCACCATCAGTTACTGTGCTTTTTCTGTTCATGAGACGAATTCTCGAGATGAGCTCTGGAATCACGAAATGGGTTATTTACTTTTTTTTTTTTTTTAAATTGCAGGGAATGTTTTGCTCAAAGATCTGACATACTTAAGAGTTATTGACCCTACATTATTTACAGTTCTTTGACTTTATTTGGAACTTTTTTTTAATAACCCCAAAAAAATAATAGTTGTGTCTTTTTTGTAAAGCTCTATAAATATGTAAATATAAAAAACTCGCATCTACAAGTTACTTTACAACGGAATTAACCTGTGAAACGCTCAGAAAATACCAACTGTTTACTAATTGGTGGGGGGGGGGGCACAGACCCAATGAGACATGCACGCTTAGAAAAGGCCTACTGGTTGCAAGGGGGAGGGGGGTTGCACACACCAAAAGTGTGTCGGTTTGTGTTCCTATGTCTTACCGTGTGTCTGTGTTTAAATGTGTATGTGCGAGCGCTATAGAGTAATCTAATAAATGCAAGTTACGGATATTTGAACACACTCACGGAAGTTAAGGATCTAAGAAGAGCCAATAATAAGTATTATTTTATTTGATAGATATGTGTAGATAGATTAGACAGATAGATATATAAATATATGTATATATATTTCTAGATGTAGATATTGATGTAAATGTAGATAGAGATGGAGATATAGATTATAGATATAGGAATAGATATAAATATAGATAGAGATATAGATTATAGATATAGGTGTGGATATAAATATAGATATAGGAATAGGTATAAATATAGATATAGATTATAGAAATAGGAATAGATATAAATATAGATATAGATACAGAGTTCCATTGTGAGATTTCCTTTCATCCTTTGTTGTGGAAAGAATGGGGAAACCATCACACGTTACTTCTTGACTTTGTCTTTAGTCAGTGGCGTACCTAAAGTTTGTGCCGCCACCATTACACACACAAAAAAAAACCCTGTACAGTTTGCCTAAAATGCCACCCGAATATGAAGAAACAAGAGCTGCCAGAGGCGGAGATCCTCTCCCCACCCCTGTGCAACGCCGCTGTTCCTGTAGCACACGCTCAGTATTGAGTCACTGCGAAATGTGTGGACAGGGAGCTTACGTGTGCGTGGGTGGAGATACCCGGATGAACGCGTATGGATATTTACTCAGATTTCGTTTAAATTTTTACCTGGATTTCTCATTTTATGCCTATTATATTTAGGGCGATATATTTTATGCCTATACCTTTTAGGCCTGTACATTTTAAACCTATACATTTTAGGCTTACACATTTTTAACCTATACATTTTAAACCTATACATTTTAAACCTATACATTTTAAACCTATACATTTTAAACCTATACATTTTAAACCTATACATTTTAAACCTATACATTTTAAACCTATACATTTTAAACCTATACATTTTAGGCTTACACATTTTTAACCTATACATTTTAAACCTATACATTTTAAACCTATACATTTTAAACCTCCATAAATTTTAGGCCTATGAAATTGATACCTCTATACATTATAGGCATATACATTTTAGAAGTATACATTTCTAGGCATAAACAATTTAAGAAGATACATTTCAAGCGTAAGCTATTGGCCCGCGCGCTTTAGTTTGAGGACCCCCTGATATAAGCTTTCTGTTTCGCTATTGGACTCTAGTCCTCTAATAGTTGTTGACTCAACGAAGAATTTAAAATGATGGATCTGAAAACATTTGACGTACATTTATAACTTAGGAAATGGCGTCAGCGAGCCGTCCAGCTAGAGGCTCTTAATGCCCTGGCCAAAGCATCCCCAAAATCCCCTAACTAATAGAGCCGCGAAGAGACAGTTGAAGTCTCTTCCGGCTATAACATCCCCCCTCCCCCCGGCCCGTAATTTCATTTGATTGACGGGGGGGGGGGATCTCAACCTCAGACAACCGGTCGCTCGTTAGTGCTGCCTTGGTACAACAGTAATCATGACACCCGCCCCATTCTCTACCGCCATTTCAGCTGGCGGTAGCACTGTCTTTGCTACCTATTTCAGGCAGATACCACGCATGCCCTTTGTCTGCCCATACAGGATGCCCGCAATGGTGGTCATGTTCGCCGGGTAGCACCAGGGGGGGTCGATGGCAGCGACTATTAAGTCAGCATGCCACTACAAACATGCCCCAGGGCATGAATCGTATATAAAATGCTTGATCACTCTGTGTCGTTCAACGAGCATTTCACTTAGTAGTACGGCGTTGAAGGAACATTTTTTTTTTAATTCAAAACTTTTTGATAGCAGATTTGTTTTTTTTATTGTTTTGTGTTTGTTTTTTTTTTTGTTGTTTTTTTTTAAATTTAAATTCTGTTAAGTAAAACTTTGAATGGTTTGATTGTTCTTGTGAAATACTTTAGTCGTACCTTCAATCCCAGCCGGGGGTCTTGTATTTAGACTATCAAATTTAATCAGAGTTTGCTTACGATTTAGTTAAAAAATATATGAACCCATATAAATGGAGTCGATTTCAAATATTGTACATGTGTTGCAACACTTACGTTGACTAGACAAGGAAATGTGTAGTAGTAGAACTGTGTACAACAATGTCCAGGCTTTGTACATGATTGACAGATGCGTGCAAGCTCCAGCTGTCGCAATCTGTCACTGGCTGTTACGGAGCCGGAGAGAGAAAAAAAAAACATCAATCCGTCAATATGACGTCATTACAAAGTCCAAAAGTCATTTTTACCGTAACTTTAAAACTAATCTCGAACTAAAACCCAAAATAAATGAATTGTACGTTTCGATAGCTGAATTAAAGAACATGTAATTTTTTTTTTTTTTTTTTTTTTTACTTACTCCAGTGGCTGTTAAAACAGATTTGATTTTTTTTTTAAATTTAATTGTGCATAGCACGTATCATTTGTATCAATTAAATCTTGTCGACTTTGTTTAATGTAAGAGCTGAATCCGTACAAATGACATTCACAGAAAACAAATGCATACATATGTTCGTTGTCCTCCTGACTGGGCGCAAAGTTATCAAGACGATCACACACCTTTCCTCAGGTCAAGTGTAATATTCACGGCCCTTAAGTTCGAATGACATCCGTCAAGTTTATTCCATGAAGTAAATTCCATGAGGTAAATTCCATGAGGTGAAGACACTGAAGTATGATGACGAATGCCGACTACTGGGATTTTCCATACGACTGTGTAAACAGCAAGGTTCCTGCTCTACTTCTGGGTCACATAATATGTCTTGTTTCTTAGTTTCATCCCTAAGGCTTAACAAAAAAAAAATGGGATTTTTTTTTTTTTTTTAAATGTTTGTTAACTTAAAAGCTTTTGCTTTCGGTATCTGTCGGATGTGTTTTCAGATGACAAAATAGTTACTTGCCGTGATTGTTGCCCCATGGTTCCTGATCTACTTCTGGGTAACATAATATGTCTTTTTTCTTAGTTTCATCCCTAAGGTTTAACAAAAAAAAAATGGGATTTTTTTTTTTTTTTAAATGTTTGTTAACTTAAAAGCTTTTGCTTTCGGTATCTGTCGGATGTGTTTTCAGATGACAAAATAGTTACTTGCCGTGATTGTTGCACCAGGCCTGTAGATTGAGTGATGTGTGTCGAACACGGTCTCTTGGCTACATTCGCTTAACATTAGTTGCACGGAGAAAGCGCTTTTGGCGTAATAACAACACCAATTTGTTAATGTTATTTTGTTAAAAATTACTTTTAACACCAAAGTAAAAAAAAATATATTATGGCCTCAGAAGATGGTGAGGATTACACAGTCTTAAAATGTAATTTTTTATTGCTGAAGTCATCTACCATGAGTCAGTGAGTTGTGGAATCAAATAATAATAAACACAGCGGTGGGACGCGAATTCTCTGAGGTGCCGAATGACCCTTACACAGGGGTCACCTAAGACCATCGGATATTTTTAAAGTAGCAATGAAAATAATTATAAGGTTGGGGGTCACCACAACATGAGGAACTTTCTTAAAGGTCGCGGCATTAGGAAGGTTTAGGACGACTGTGATAGTAAAAGCTTAAGAGGTACAAAACACAATGACAAACAAACAAAAACGCATCGATACTATTATCCAGCATCACAGTGCACAGTAAATGTCAAAGTGTATTCTTACAAAGGCGACAAAAATATTCTGGACTATTTACTTGATTCAAGCTGATGGTCTGAGGGCTTTTTGATTTTTCCCTGGAAAACATCATCCTTACCATCCAGTGTTAACATGGCCCATCCACAAAGTGTACTGGCGAAGTTTTGGCGTATCTATGTGTTTTCTGGGACTCGAACTCCAATCCATTAGCTTGGGATTGACTCAGTTTAGACAACTCAGCCATCCAGCGGTTGTTTCATCAAGACGATTAAATACAAAGGTTTTGAAGCGTCTAAGGCCTAGAGTGCACTAAATGTATAATAAACTACTGTACTTAGCGTTCTGTTTTCAATGTCTGCCTTCAGTGTATGCTTTCAATGTCTGTCTTTAATGTGAGCTTTCAACGCGTCTCTTCAAAGTGTGCTTTCAATGTGTACTGCCAATGAAAGCCTTCAATGTCTGCCTTCAATTTTTGCCTTTAATATGAGCTTTCAATGTGTGCCTTCAATGTGTGCTTTCAATGTGTGCTGCCAATGAGTGCCTTTAATGTCTGCCTTCAATGTTTGCCTTCAATATGTGCTTTCAATGTGTGCTGTCAATGTGTGCCTTCAATGTGTGCTGCCAATGAGTGCCTTCAATGTCTTCCTTCAATGAGTACTGTCTAATGTGTGATTTCAATATGTTTTTTCAATGTGTACATTCAAAGTGTGCTTTGAATATGTGCTTTCAATGTGTGCTGCCAATGAGTGCCTTCAATGTCCGCCTTCAATGAGTGATGTCTATAATGTGTGCTTTCAAAGTGTGTTTTCAATGTGTACATTCAAAGTGTGCTTTGAATGTGTGCTTTCAACGTGTGCTTTCAATGTGTTCTTTCAATGTGTGTTTTACATGTGTGCCATAAATGAGTGCCTTCAATGTGTGTTTTGAATTTCTGCATTCAATGAATTTGTGCCTTCAATGTGTGCCTTCAAGTGTGCTTTCAATGTGTGCTTTGAGTGTTTACTTTCAATGTGTTCTTTCAATCGGTGCTTTCAAAGTGTATTTTCAATGTGTGATTTCAGTGTGTACTTTAAAAATGTGCTTTCAATGTGGGATTTCAATGTGTGTTTTCAATGTGTGCTTTCAATATGTGTTTTCTATGTGTCAAAATCAGCCACTCTATTGTAATATATACTGAGCACTCACTCCATACACGTTTTTAATTGAAACGATTTACAATAAGAACAGCATCTTATGTCGTTTAAATTCTCTTTTATTTGTACAACAATTAACATTGGCGTAGCCCTACGAGCCGGCTACGGGTTGGGAACCGGATTTGATGAACATTTTTTTGAGTGTCCTCTTTTTCAACTGTTGACCCATGGTAACCCTAATCTCCTACGGCCTTTGCTGTATACTAAGGTCTCGGTAACTGTATCAGGCTTGTCGCTTGATGATGGTATAAAGGCAGTTGGTGTAACAGTTAAAATCAAAGTTCATATCACAGAAGGGGCAGTTGGTGGGCTGTAGCAGATCGATAAGGAGACCTAAAGCGAAAGGAATACAAGAATGAACCAAACAATTATTTTTTTAATTAAACACTATTCTATATAAATTAAGTAGGGGAGATTACTTTTCACACACTCGGCTGCACCGTTTTAAACCGCTGTCAGGGCTTGGTAGAATAAAATTAATTCTCATTTTCTTTTGAAGATTAAAACCTACCAGAACTCAACCGTGTAAAAAAATTGACCGCTGCAGCGTTCAGTAACACCAGTGCTGTCATACCCACACCAATCCAAACCACTCTGAGACACAGCACGTCATGCTAATGTCATGCCCGCACCAAACAAAACCACTCTGGGCCACAACATGTCATTGGTAATGCCATACCCGCACCAAACCAAACCATGCCAATGATATGTTTTGCTTTCACGTCATCTATTGCGAAAATTCTTAAAAACTAACTCATGTAAACCAGCTGTTCTCAACTTGTGGGTCGCACCCCCTTTGGGTGTTGAAAGACTCATACGCTTCGCCTAAGACAATCGGAAAACACATATTTATGAAGAAGCAACGAAAATAATTTTATGGTTGGGGGGTCCACCACAACACGAGGAACTGTATTAAATTGGTCGCGGCATTACGAAGGTTGAGAACCACTGGCCTGCACTATCAGTATTCCGTCATGTGTCACTCCGTACAATCAATTAGCATTCCTTCCCATATCAAGCTATTTTACAGTAATTATATATTTACCTTGAGTAAAGCCGATCACCATCACAGCGATGACGATCAAAATCAACAATTTCATCTCCGCGTACATCTTTTGTGCAGGCTTTGGTTACGAAGTATCGGAAGCAAATGTGCGACCACAAAATTAACGCAGCCGAAAGATCCCTTGAGAAGACAAGTTCTAAAACTTAACCATTATATATTTCAAGATATGAATTTGAACTTTTATCTCCTTACTCTTTCCTTTTTTTTCTTTTTTTTTCTTTTTTTAAACTATTAAAAATAGCAACAAACCAGCATACACACATGAGAGGCCCACAGCTTAGTTCAGAAATAATAGCAACAAACCAGCACACACATGAGAGGCCCACAGCTTAGTTCAGAAATAATAGCAACAAACCAGTACACACATGAGAGGCCCACAGCTTAGTTCAGAAATAATAGCAACAAACCAGCACACACATGAGAGGCCCACAGCTTAGTTCAGAAATAATAGCAACAAACCAGCACACACATGAGAGGCCCACAGCTTAGTTCAGAAATAATAGCAACAAACCAGCACACACATAAGAGGCCCACAGCTTAGTTCAGAAATAATAGCAACAAACCAGCACACACATAAGAGGCCCACTGCTTAGTTCAGAAATAAAAGTATAGAGCGGATAACGTTTATGTTTTAGACCTTTCAATGTCTATAAATAGATTTATTAAAACAATAATAATTATAACAATTGTCAGAATTGAGGAATTCAAATGAAAAAAAAAAACTGTTTGCTTTCAATTCCTTGTGTACTATAACAATAAATAAAACTATTATTTCAGTTTTCAAAACGATTTTTGCATAATGTTCTTTAACCAGATTAACTTTTGCAATGATTTTTCTTAATTAATTTTAACGATTTCTTACAAAATTGTAATCTTCACGTAATCATAGATAAAAATCAATGTGTGAAAAAAAAGGAAAAAAAGAAATTGTCACAAACATTTTTAAAAAATTTAATTAATAAAATAACTGTCGTTTCACTATTGATGTCACCGTTATAAACTAAAATTAATTTTAGTCAAATTTCTATTTTCTCATGTTACACGTTGTCAAAACAAAATGTAAACTGTTACCTGCCCAGATTTACATTTTGTATTTGGGCACTTACACGTACTGCTGTATTTAAAAAAACCAGTTTGTTTCATTTCATTTCTTAAGTGAACAATATTTGAATCCACATTTGATGTACTCTTATTATTTTACTGAAGATATGTTGAATGTATGAAGCTTTAATTTTTTGTATTGTGTCTAAGT